TGAATACATCCGGATCCACACTTCTCAGTGTCTGTTTCCAGGAGTCATTTGGCAAGAGGCGGGTACACTCTGAACAAGTCGCCACTTCATTATAAAATTTTTTAAATGATGTATCTTTTTTAATTTACTTCACACACACATAAATATATTGAAGTCCTGCATCATCTGGCCTTTCTAGAATGGATTATTAGTGTTTGAAACAAATTTTTTAATGGTTTCTTCTTAAAAAACACACACACACACACACACACACACACACACACACACACACAATGTCTTTCTTCAAGTACTACAAAGAATTAGTACTTTATTTTCTTCATTCTAATTTGGTAAAGATGGGATAATTAAAACCATATTTTCCTGTTTGGAGACACATATCAGGATTAATCTCATGATCTGATAACAAATAGAGAGACTTGAAGTGATCAGTTTATAAAATCCTGTCCCAACATTTCTGTTATATCTGTATTTGTATCTGTTGTAATTGCAACAGTGACTCAGTCAAAACTTCACAACATTATGCCAAGACATATGGTGAATGTAATTAACATGCGATGCCAGTTCTGTGTAAAAGCGTGGGAGACGGTTTGTGAATGTACATGTGTGTTTGGGGTTGTCACTCAGATTGAGCGTGGCTGCTTGCTTGTTTTCAGCAGGACGTTCATTAGATTGTTTTGTGTCGATTTCTATGAGGCATAGACCAATTTATAGAACCGCATAAACAGGAATGTTCTGTGATTTGCTTTTTATTTATTTTTGTTTAAATGTTATTCTATTTGTACATTGCGCTGAAGGATATGATATAAATAGTTTTGGTCCTGTATTTAAATATTCCAGGACCAAAACTGTAATATTTGGTCCTGCAGAATCATTCATACTCTTCAGGAAGCCATTGTTGAAGGAAAAACTAAAAGATGTTTCCTGTTCAGTTTTTCAAAAATCATTTGGCAGATGGTGCTCTGAGGAAATGAAACCAAATTTCTAATGTTCCTACTCTAAAACATGGTGGTGGCAGCATAGTGGTTTGGGAAATCCTGTCTTGAGCTGAGGTGAGCAACAGCAGAAAACTTGTTTCAAACTGGACGGAGAGCAATGGGTGCTGTTCAGAAAAGCCCAAGACTATTCAAACTTATACTATTCAATCCCTTGGCAGATTTAACTGTAAAATTATTTTCATTCAATCAAGAAGTTTCAGCTCTAAGAACAGCAAAAGAGTATACACCACATTTTTTTCATCTCACAGAATAACAATAAAATACTGTAAGGTTTTTGGTAGTACTTTTTTATATGCTGCTCTATGTTTTTGTGCTTCTAAGTTACTGTTTTCCAATAGCAGCACCATAACACAGGATGATGCGCTGCAAAAAAAAAAACCTGTTCTGAATAACTAGCATAAATTTACAGCAAAAAAACCTGACCCACAGTTTGTTAATGCACATCATTTATTAAATACAGTGTGAAGTTTAGGAGTAGAGAGAATAAGGAAATGTGTGGTGCGATTAGACTGATCCCTTTATTGAAACTTTGGTTAAAATAAATCATTTGATTCAGCCTCTGAAACTGAAACTTCCCCAAACTCTGTTGCATTCTGCCTGGGATCTTTGTTTAAAATTCTCTGTTTTCTGTTCCGCCGCACTATTGACTCATCACTCCATGTGGTCCATGTCATATTGTCTCTGGATTCATTCCTCCACTGTTGCTCCCTCTCCATCTTTTTCTGTGAATTATACATTAAAACCCACTTGACATGGATATACTCCAACCGTCTTGTGCCAGAGTTTATGCGTCACACCAGCCTCTGGCCTCTGCCTCTCTTTCTCTTTGTTTTTTCTTCCTGTTCTGTCTTTCACAAAACATGAGATACTGAATCAATAGCAGTCCTCTCACCTTTCTGCCATTTTTTTTACACTTTTAATTGTAACTTGGGCACAGCATTTTCATTCAGCTCCAGCCTCTACTTCCACTGGCTGTATTCCCCCCATCTGTCCTTCTCCTTCCTTCTCTGCTCCAATCATCTCTGAAAAGTCATCTCCTCCCACCTACTGGTGTCCCACATGGGGGAGACAAGGAGACAGGGACAGAAAAGAGTGAAGATGGGGGCAGGAGAAATGCAGACATGATTGGACTGGAGATCCCCCCACCCTCCAAAATGTCTGAGATTCACCTGCACAAACTCCTTCTTCTTCTTCCCCCGCTTTTCTCATCTGTATTCATGGTCTCCCCTCCTCCTACTCCTCCTCATCCTTCTCCTCCCGCATCATGTCTTCTCACCTCTCTCCCCCACCAGCTCCCTGCCTCCTCTTCTCTGTCCTTCCGTGGCTCTTGTCATCCTGCATTGCTCCACCTGCACTGTGTTGCAGCGCTGACAATTCCTACCCTCCACACACACACTCTCTCTCATACACACACACGCACAGAGGGAGACACACGCCCACCACTTCCGGCACCCCCCTCTTTTATCCCCCTCCTTTTCAAATCTCTCCACTGCAGACACGAAACATTCTACAACCCCTGGCGTGCCAGCGCTTCATCAGGACCCTCTGCTTGCAGTATCGGAACAGTTATGTATTCACACACAATGTGACTTCTTGTTCTATGCAGAAATAATTCATTTATAGTGAGCAGTAAAACCAAAAATGGTAAGGAAGAGTGGGAATAATATCAGTGATTAAACATTGTAAGAATCCTGAGCATATTATTTTAATCATAATTTCTGTTAGTTATCCTTTGTGTGGCTTAAATCAGAGTGACTTACAGTACCTGAATATTAACACTGAGCCAAAGTACATCCTGTGCACTTAAAATAAACCTTTTAAAGAAATAGCTCTGAGGTTTTGAAGTGAGAGTATAAGCAGTTACTATTTCACCTGCAGTGGCTAACTGCCTTGGTATCTTCATTTACCATGAATTCAGATTAGCTTCTGGATTTATGATGAAACTATAGGCCGGTCTGAGAAGAGGTTGAAACTGAAATGTGCCTCTGCCATTCTTCATTAACTCCATCTCAAAAACATTGAAGAACCCTTCAATATTGTGATTACAGATGACACTTGAAGTGTTCATTGGCTTTTTTGGACATAAATTAATAGGTGGAAGCAGTCTGAATGTTTATGACATTGCTTTTTTATAAACTAGTATATTATTTTTGAAAATAAAAGTTTTTTACAAATATTTTCTGGTCCTGATTTCTTTCTTGGATTGGTCATCTCATTTGGATTTATAATAAATTAACAGAACAACAGAGTTGTATATTCTGCAGGTTTTCAAGGAACCACAAAATCTTGAAATATCCCTTGAATAAAAGTTTACATGTGATAACTGAATCAGTTGTTGTATAGGGCAATTATCTTTTTAACTAAGGGACTATTATAGCATCAGAAGCATTTGATTACCACACAAAATAAGTGAGCCAAATACTGTGAATTTATCATGATCAATTCACAGTAACATTTAAGAAGAATGAAACATTGAGTGTGGTAGATTAAAGCAAGGATGGGATGGGAGAGTCTGACTCTTTTAATGTGATGTTGCTAGGGAAATAAAGCTGGAGAAACAAAGAGAGCATCAGCCACAGAGTTGATTCCAGTGTAAACTTTGCTTACTGGGTAGAACATTAGAATATACTCTCTCAACAGATGCACAGCTTCTGAGTTGCAGGTATGTTTACGTCAAAGTGATGAGAATAAAACAAGACAGAGAAAGTGTGGTAGAAACCCTGAGAGTAGAGGGGAGAAAGTTTGTTGCTGGGCTGATCTTCAGGATACAGGAAAAGATGAGATTGGGAAAATATCACACCATGTAATCAATCCTGACATCTAGTGGACAGTGTGTGGAATATAGTACAGAGTCTTCACGTTGTACAGTGTGTTAACACTTTCAGTCAGTGTGTTTATGTAATGTGGAGCCCTGGACCCCTTCCCCCAGGCTTCACATATATAGGTCAAGGCCTACGTAATAATTACGTAATTCTATTTTTTTTTTTATCTATGCTTATATTTCTTGGAATATTAATCATGAGTTTAAAAAAAACAATTAATAAATAACATGAAAAAACTGAAACAAAGGTCTCACTATAGTATAGATTTCAAACTAATGTTGCTCAATATTGAAGTGTTGGTTCTGAAACTATTCCTGAGACAGAAATGAATTTTATTTTTCTTACTGAGGAACATGTGCTTCAGATAGTTCTTGTTAGTCTTTTATTGTTGGAATTACTGTCTTTCTATGTCAGTGATTGTATAAGTTTTGGGGTACTGCCTGCAGTGAAAAATGTGTAGTGATTGATTTAAGAAAAAGTTATATTGTCATTGTGGTTGGGTATGTTATTGATATCATTTCTTACATTACATTTTACTTTTTAAAAAAACATTTTTTTTTATAACAGTACAAATCTTATTCTACTGTTAGTTTTATGTGATTCATTTCATTTTCAATGTACTTCTAAAAGACCAACCAGGGAACAGGCCTGCATTAGCCTTTGGCTGGAGGCTCTGTAGACAGGACAATGTCTTCTTTCTTTTGAATGTAACATTGCTTCATGTCCTACTTAAATAAATTGGAAATAAAATAAACATCTACTGACTTGTTTTGCTAAGAGTTGTTTTATGACTTGTGTCTTGCTTCTTTTCACATTTCTTGTAAACCCCTGCTCCTGTTTTTGGTCATTTATGTTGTTAGATTAATTTAAATATGGTCTTTATGGGTGGACGGGTACGGAGCCCTCCAGGGGACATTAGAATGTTTTTTCTTTTGCGTTCCCTCGCAAAAGTTGTTGTGTTCTCTAGCAATTATCTAATCATCAGTTTATGCGGCATAATTGAATACTGTAAACGCAAAAGTGTTGCGAGGAAACTCAAAAGAAAAGAAAAATCCTATGTCCCCTGGAGGGCTCCGTAGTCTGGAAGCGCAAATATATTACCCATCTGTTTAGAATACAAAATTCCCTCCGCTTAAACGTTTGACCCGTTCGGGCCACCGTACTTGTTGTGTTTGTTTGGTAGCGAAGATGGCGAACGAACTGGATAGAGTACGAATCTCAGCAGCGGAACTTCGCGCAGAAGCTACAAATTCAGTGCAAATGGCCGATCGTTTGAACGGTAAGAGACAGTGAGCCTCTTTCTAGGAGCGCCAGCGCTGGTTAAAGGCTCAGTAAACTCTAGTTAAACAGTAGATGACTGTCTAAGTTAGCAGGAAGTGGCCCGCGGTGCTGCTAAGTTTCTATGTAGCTAATGTTATTAGCCGCAGATCTCTGGGCTTATCTGTGCGTTACTTTTTTGAAAGCTGCGCTTCAAACCAGGCCGAATCTTTCATTGCTAAATATATGTTTGAATATGGTTTTTGGTTTTTCTGTCTTTTAAAAATTCGAATATTTAAACATTTGATGTTGTGTGTTTGCATAAATCATGTGTCATTTAAACGGAAAGTTTGTAAAGTAAACGTTCATTAACGGTATGTTACTAGAAAACGTTACCTGATAATTGTAGCCTCCGTGTCACCGAAGATAACAAATGTTTGTTATTTTAAAACTATCTACTATGGTGGCCGATCGGGTTTTCAGTCATCGGTCATTTTTTAAAGTTTTTATGTAGCAGTTTGTAGTGTTAAAAGTCAAAACTGTCCATCTTCATATGTTTTATATGTTTATTGTTACTTCATTGGTTCACAATGACAGAACAGTTGTTTCATTTTTTTTAAATACAGGTCTTGTTATTTATATTTATAGATATAGATTTACTTCTCATTTGCTTATTAAGCTCATAAGATCTTAAGATCTGTTTGCTTATCAAACTCTGGTAAACATTACTTTCTTCTTCATTTTGATTCTCTAACTGCTTCCCCCAAATGTATGTCAGAAGAAATCGTAGATCACTCCTAAATAAAGCAATAAAAGCTGGGGGAAAGTAAAAATGGGCCAGTAATTATTTTCTTGTAGGTCTTACAGTATCATGGTGACAATCAATGTATATTAGTGATGATACATTAAAAGAGTCAGACTCTCCCACCCGTCCTTGCTTTAGTCTACCACACTGAATGTTTCATTCTTCTTAAATGGTACTCCATCATGATAAATTCACAGTATTTGGCTCACTTATTTTGTGTGGTAATAAAATTATCATGATGCGATAATACTGTCAATTTAGAGAAAATCCACAATAAATTCAAAGTTTCTGACACAATTCTTGTGTGAAAATAACTAATAGGCATTGGATTTTAAGGTGTTTTGAAAAGGTTTACACATACAATGTTAGATAGTGCTGCATTCCTCAGGGCAAGTCGATGTCAAGGCATAACTCATTACAATAAATACATAAAGTAAAACTAGTAATTATGTGTTGAGTAATATACATGTCATTAATGTGTCTTTAGCTGATGCTGCTCTTTAGTTCTCACGTTCAGCTTTTTTTTTTGTCTTGATGACTGATGTTTACCTTATCTTCCTACCTTCTGTAGAGGAGCAACAGGAACGCAAAAAACACAAGCAGCATAAGCGGCGTGAAGCGAAACGTCCTGATCTGCAGCGTTACGAACCAGCTGCTGGACACGGACGCCGTCATCAGGACAGCGAGGAAGGAGAAACTGGTCAGAGGGATTCTCTAGACTCCAAAGCACAACAGAGTGATCATTCATCGATGAGTGGGAAAAGCAGAGTATCTGAAGATGATAGAAAAGGGTGCACAGACCTCTTAGGTACCAAAAACAAGGATGAGGACAGAATGAGAGGTGATGGCAGTAACAGCCTGAACTGTAAACAAGGCACCCCGACCAGGGGTAAAACCGATGCAAACAGTGAAAATGACAAAGAACAACAAGATGCTTCAGGAGCTCCTAAACCTGCAAAGAAAGTCCGCAAGCCTGACAGAGAGTTCTATCAACCAGGGAGCCGCAGGAACGTGCAGGGAAAGGACTGCAGTGTTGGAAGAGAGCTGGATAAACCTTCTCCCAAAAAACAAGGGCTAACCCTGGAGCCAGAGTCTCACTTGAGTGCAGGCGAAGGGAACAGTAAAAAATCAATACCCAAGCATGGAGGGAAAGATAAGGTAAAATTTTCTGACTCTAATGAAGAAACTACAGAGCAAGGAAGACAAACTGTGGACCAAACAGTGGAGAAAATTATGACCAAAGTAGAAAGACTCAACATAAAAGAGAAGGAGGAGGTTGGGGGTCCAAGTAATAATGTTGGAGATGTAGCTTGCACAAGAATAGAAAAAGAAAGGAGTGCTCAAGGTGGAGAAAACAAATGCCAGGAGGAAAAGACAGATAGAAAGGAGAAGGGTAACCGCCGGAGAAGAGGAGGAGAGAAGGAGAAAAAAGAAGAAAATGAGACGCATTTGGAATCTAAACGAGAAGAGGAAGCTAACCAAAGTAGAAAGAACAATCAGCGGAAACTTGAGAAGGAAAAAGACAAGAGAGCTCCTAATAGTGACAGGAGAAAATCTGAAAAACCAAGAGAGCCACACCACAGCAAACAAAATGATAATCATAAAATAAAGGACAACAACAGCAACTTTAAAGACACTGAAAAAGCTGCTAAAACAGGGAGCCACCGCGACAGGGTTGTAGAAGAGCATGATAGACACAGATCTAATTCAAAAGCCACTACACCAAACTCAAAGAGATATTCCAAATCAAACATTCGACACTCCCGAAACAGAACTTACAGCAGCAGTTCAGCGAGCAGCGTAACCAGCCAAGATCCCCCCAGGCGACACATGGGTATGGAAGGCGTCAAGTGGCCACGCCTCCCCGGGCAAAACAATAAAGAGTTGGGGGATAAATGTGAAGGGCCAAGGAGACACTCTTCAACAGAATCACTGGATGGGAATGAGGTGTGTGACAGAGAGGAAGCAGATAGGAGGAGAAGGAGGAGAAAAAGTGTGGGGAAGGAAGAAATTAGTGCAGTAAAACGAGGGGAGGAGTGGAAGACGTCAAACAAAAGTGGAGGGCGAGGAATCCTTTGGGTTTCTTTAGATAATCAGTCACCTGTCGCAAAGGACAGCCCGGTCCCTCGTGGGAGGGGCCGGGGTATCTTGGTGCTGCCAGCCCGCACAGACATCTCCAACTCACCCGAGGTGGGGCAGAGGCTTTTTTCTGCCGGAACCCGTGGAGGAGCAGCTGGCAGGACCAGAGGTGGCCGAGGAGGAGGAGTGAGACGCCTCTGGGACCCCAACAACCCTGAACAGAAACCTGCTCTCACCAACACCCAGTCGTCCAAACACGCAGCACTTAAACAGCCGCTTTATCTTCAGAGTGGGACGGGATATGGGCAGCTTCACTTTCTGGACACGGACGACGAGCTTGCCGGCAGCCCTCCGGTGGCGCAAGGGGATCACTTCCAGTCCCAGCAGGCCGCTGCTATGGCATACTACAAATTCCAAACCTCTGATAACCCTTACTGCTATCCCATGGCCACCAACAGCCCGAACTCCACCACCGGCCAGCGCTATCCTTACCCGTATAACATGGGGCCGTACCAAATGGCTCACCCTAACGGTATGTACCCGAGTTCGGGTACAAGTCAATTCAGCGGGAGTTACAGGGGAGCAGGGTATAGCCAGCCAGGCGTATCAGGCGGGTTGACGTTTGAAGAGGAGCTGGGCAGATTGCTGAAGGCTGCAGATGCTCATGAACTTCAGCTCAGTAACTTGATCTCCAGGGACCGAGTGAGTGCAGATGGCTTGGATCGGATGTCCCAGCTCAGGTGAGAGTTTTGGGGGCTGCGGAGGATGTGTATTTAATGGACTTGCTAAAATAATAATAATATTGGAAATCTATTTTGTTGTTTCTTGAAGAGCCGACCTTTTGGGGCTGTACGAGCGGATCATTCTGACAGACATCGAGTTCTCCGACTCTCAGAATGTGGATCAGGCTCTGTGGAAGAACGTGTTCTACCAGGTGATCGAACGTTTCCGGCAGCTGCTCAAAGACCCCAGCTGTGACAACACGCCTGACATCAGGAACATGCTGCTCACGCTTCTAGATGAGGTAAGACACTTTGGATAAGGGCAAGTCAAGAATCCATTTTGCAGTCTGACTCGTCATTGGGTTGTAAAGTGTTACATTGCTATTAATTTTAATGATTGTGATTTACAGCTAATCAAAACCAAAAATTCAATTTCTCAGAACAGTTTTAATTTTCATAATTTTTTGACATTAACCTTGTTGGGCAATGAGTCCTCAGTTGTTGAAAACTACTACATTAGATGTTGGTGATAAGCTCGCTTAAAACTTTTACAGCACACATGTAGTGTGTTCATGCTTTGTGAGGCCATCTAATCATGAAAAAAAAGTGTTTTATTTTGAGGTTAATAAGGCTACGTTACCACAGCAGGCAAATCTGCCCTTTTTTTGAGAGAATCGTCTAAAACATGCTGGTCAGAACTGACAAGTATTCATTGTCAGAACTGTTCTCAGGATGTAGAACTTGAATTTAAATTAGCAGACTAAACATACTGGTTGAATTAGATGTTTATTTGCCATGACTACCGTTTTCAGAGGAAAACATATTTTTACGCTTTACTGTTGAATAGCTTCTTGAAAAATCCATTGAAATGTCCAGCTGTCAACAACAGTAAACGTTTAGGAAGATAATCTGTTGAAACCAGAACCATGTATGAATGAATTCTATATTGAAAATATTCTCATTTTAATTTTCTTTATTTCACAGGGAGCACTTTTCTTTGACGCGCTGCTTCAGAAGCTGCAAGCGGTGTACCAGTTCACATTAGAAGATTACATGGATGGCATGGCTATCAGGACCCGTCCCTTACGCAAAACGGTATGTAATTCCTGCGTTGTGTATGAAACCTGCTGTTAATTATACTGCTGTCTGCCTACACCAAGACAATAAACTTCAAGGAAGCAACTTACTTACAGACTTTTTATAAATGTATTTTGTTTTAAATTAACTTTTTCTCTTTATTTTTTAATTTGTAGGTAAAGTATGCACTGATCAGTGCTCAGCGATGCATGATTTGTCAGGGCGATATTGCACGGTACCGGGAACAGGCCACTAACTCTGCCAACTATGGCAAGGCTCGCAGGTAGGCAGTTATTTCAGGAGGGTTTCTACAATGCCTTCAAAAACACTCACTTCATGTTAAACTTTTTTTTGGTTTGGTTAATAAATTTTAATTTAGTTAATTTAAAAATGGTCTGAAGTTTATTTCTGACATAAAAAGTAAGTCATTAAGAATTATCTCAAATTAACTTTCACTCAACTAGCAGAAAAAATTATTCTATCCTTAAACTTAATTTTGTTTTACAAATCCTGAAGTTAGAGATTTAATAAATCAGAATAGATCAATAAATATGTATTTTCATAGAGGCATTAAATTTTACTGTTAAAGTCATATAAAGTTTTAGTCCAAGAAAAAGATTTTGAACCATCCTTTTTAGGATATTGTGATGTGCAATATCCTAGTTGCAAATCACAGCACCTGTTTAAAGTTATAATGTCCCGCAAATGTTGCTCTAATGTTTTCTTTTGTCTCTCTCTCTCTTAGCTGGTACCTGAAAGCCCAGCAGATTGCGCCTAAAAATGGACGCCCCTACAACCAGCTGGCTTTATTGGCAGTTTATACAGTAAGTGATGTCAAGATTGTTAAATGAAATATTTAATCAGCGAGTAATTGCTACTTAATTTGTATGTAATTTTTTTTCATTTCACCGGATTACAGCTTTTCCCCTGCTAATTACAGAAAAGATCAATGACAAAACAAAAATATTACACAACACATGAAACATGAAAGTTTAATTTCATTTATAAGTATTACTATAAAATTTTCATATTATTCTATTTGACCTTATGTTTCTTAAGTTGTACTGAACTCAGTCGTTACTATGGAGGCCTGTCAAGAGTCTTATGATTTGACTTGCATGTGTTGAAACAGAGACGTATCTAAACACTGCAGGACACCAGCTCTGAAGGACTGAGTATGAGATTCCTGTTAGGGTAATCCAGACCCTTTCAAGGTTTTGAAATTGTGCTGATCAAAATTTATCCAGAGATCAAAAAAGTGAAATAGCACTTTGCCATGATGTAGGATCCAGAGCCAGCAGCTGTTGCATTAGGTTGTGAACAAACTGATAATGGCATCTGACAAGGTAGATAGATGTCTTGTCCCTAAAAGTGCAGAATTCAAATATACTATATTTTTATGTTAATGATGACAGAAAAGATTGCATTGTTTTTTGTCCAGCTGTTGGTGTATGATGGCTTAGAGTCACATAATGTGGATACATCTGCCCATTAGCAAATAAAAATAGTTAAAAGTAAAAGTTGTTGGTCTTTTGAGAGTTGCGTATAAATAATTCATTATAATGTGAGTAGATAATGAATTATCTACTCACATTATAATTTCAAAATCTCTCTCACCTACAGAAGCGGAAGTTGGATGCTGTGTATTATTACATGCGCAGTTTGGCAGCCTCCAATCCCATCCTGACAGCAAAGGAAAGCCTAATGAGCCTCTTTGAGGAAGCCAAGCGGAAGGTAAGGCAATCTGAAAACCCTTTCACAGCTCAACTTGGAAACGCTTTTAAAAAAATAACTGTTTCCTAGAACATTAAGTGTATCTTGTCAAAATACTCGGCGTGTCTGAGAAAGTCGTCGACCGTTTTAAAGTCTGCATTTTGCAGCTTAAATCCACAGTTGAATCAGAGAAAGTTCAAGATGTATTCTAACAGGCTGAACAGTTTGAGCGAAGGAGGAGGCAGGAACAGGAAGGAGGGTCTCAGGGTCCAGCAGTGAAAGGAAGAAGGAAATGGGGCGACGGCGCACGTGTGGAGATTTGGATCCGTCCCAGTGGCCAGACCACAACCCGGTCCTCACACAGAGGGGGCAGTGAGTCCAGCAGAGACTCGGAGCAGGATGGAGAGCTGGGCAGTCTTACTGCTTCTGAGGTAAAAGCCCCATGTATAACTGCAATATATACTTGGTTTGTAGTTATAAAATATTTCCTGATTGAGGTTTTCCTCTAAAATTATTTTCTGTTTTCATCTTCATACGTCTCTCAAATTTTTATTACTATAAGTTCTTACACTTCTTGTTTTTTTCTTGTAGCATTTTTGTTGTTTACTTTTGACCTTCTTTTTTCTCCAGCTGAATAAAAGATTCATTTTGAGTTTCCTGCATGCACACGGAAAGCTCTTCACTAAAGTGGGGTGAGTGGTGGCTCATATTTTCCACCTTCTTCCTGAATTTAATGCGTAGAATTTAAAATAAGTGAAATTATTATTTGAGAATTGTATTTTCATTTTGATTTAGTGCCAGATGAGTTTGACGGATGTGTGTTTCTCTGTTTTGCGGCTGCACAGTATGGAGTCCTTCCCCGGAGTGGCGAGCCGTGTTCTGCAGGAGTTTAAGACTCTTCTTCAGCACGGACCTTCACTGCTCGGGTTTACAAACCTGCTGCAGATCATCACCATCAACATGTTTGCCATATACAACGCCCACAGCAAAGGTAACAAAAAATATAGATGATTATAGTTAAAATAACTACAATGGCTCATCATGCTAACACAAACCGTTCAGTCTGAATATTTGGTGTAATATGTGCTATGGAAATTTGAAAATACTAAAGCTCTCCTGATGAAATGTAAAGTAGGATTTATTTATAGTGTTTAATTCAAGTTAAAAAATAAACATGCATGTCCTGATTTCATACAAATAATTAATGAAGTACCTTTTCTCTGCCAGGTGAAGAAGGAGATGTCCGGTCTGTTTTATTAGAACAAAGCACAGCTTTAGGCCTGGACATGTTTGCTTTGCTGGTGCAGCGATGCACTGAACTTCTCAAGGAAACTCCTGCAGGTAAACTCTTGGTCTATTACACTTTAACTCAATTTTTCTCACTTATTTGTTGTACATGTCCTTGACTATTAATGGGTAAAATTAACTATTTAATCACAGCCGAGAGATCCACCGGTGATGACTAAAATAAAATGCATGAAAAATTAAACGGTTTTACTAAACCAACTAACTGCCCTAAGTTATACAACTCTGCTGCTTCTGATGGAAGTGATTCTAGGAGAAAACATTTAAATAGAAATTAAAATGTCGTTTATGCTGTCGGTTTTTGCAGCATTTGGAGTTTGCAATGTTTATTGCAAGATTGTTATGCTGTATACCCCTCCCACCTGTGCCTTATAAATGTTGCACAAGGTACCTGGTGCAACATTTTTGGATATATAGGGTTATTTATATATTCAAATATGTTTTGGTTTCCCCAAAACATCGCATACATATCTGCTGTCAAGTATGAGCCCTTTGACGCTCCAATGCCTGAAGAAGACACCACTGTCTCCTCTGATGTAACTTTATATCCATCACTGCCATGATTTTTAGTGACTTATCACGTGAACAAACATATTTATGGTTGATTTTAGTTTAATAGAAATGCCGCAATTGCAAAAGTAATTTTTTTCAACATCCGCAGAACATCAATAAAGATTTGCGCACATTCATATAGAAAATACAGCTGGCGATTGATAAAATCATGAGTGTTTGATTTTATTTATGTTTAGGTTGTGTATTACTCAGTAATAAAAAAATATAAGGTCAGTGTTGCTCTCTTTCAGAAGCAGTACCCATGACAGATGGAGAAGAAGAGGGGAAAACTGAAGAGCTGCAGGGAATGGTCAGAGTTTCTGCTTTCCCGCAGGACCTGAGAGAACTGCTGCCCAGCATCAAAGTGTGGTCAGATTGGATGTTAGGACATCCAGAAGAGTGGAACCCACCCCCATGCAGTCTAGAGTGAGTAAAATGTTTGTTTTTCACTTCCATTTAAAGACAGTGGAAATAATTTCTGAACCTGAAATTTAGATTCTAGTCTTGAAACTTGATGTTTACTTATTCATGCTTCTGTCAGACTCAATAACAATGTCATTACTCTGTTATCAGAAGGAATTTCAGAGCTTTGACCGCTTTTGTATCAAATGTTTGCTGAAAGATTTTGGTAGAACGATTATATGAAACCACAAACTTTGCCGTGTTTTATTGTGATTTTATGTGATCTCACCGATTCTTGTTATAATCTGATGATTAAGGTGCAGTCCCGACGTTTGGCAGTGCCTTGCTGACTTTTGTAATGCACTGGCACGTGTGGACCACGAGGAGATGCTGCTGTACAAAGTGGATACTGATGAAGGCGAGGGAGACGAGGAACTGACTGTGCTTCAGTTGAAGGAGGACAAACTGCTTGCTGGCTTTGTACCTCTGCTGGCAGCGCCACAGGAGCCATGTTACACGGACAAACACACCGACATGGTGAGTGGGTTGTTATACCAGCATACTGCAGACTACATGCCTTTATTTTCAACATTTGCACACAGCCTCAAGTATTCATATTGTGCTTTGAGGCACAGATTAACCTTCATCTCTTTTCTCAGGCTATAGCAGCAGATTGTAAAAGAGTGACGGTTCTGAAGTACTTCCTGGAGGCTCTGTGTGGACAAGAAGAGCCTCTGTTAGCCTTCAAGGGAGGCAAATATGTGTCTGTGGCATCTTCTTCCTCACCTAACCACTCGGAAGATACAAGGAGCAGGCAGGATTCGTTAACAGAGAAAGAGGTGACTATGTATATATATATATATATATATTGAAGGAGCACACAAAATCTCACAACAAAAAGCTGATGTTATTCTCATCTTTGGTTGGCAGTCTGATGACGTCATACTTGAAGCCGAGTCATCTCTTTCTGGGTCAGAAGAAGAGGGGAATTTTGAAGAGGCAGGAGAAAGTGAGAATGACATCAAGGAGCTAAAGGCGCGACGGCACGCCCTCGCTAACAAGCTGGCGCAGCAGCAGAAGCGCAGAGACAAAATCCAGGTTTGAGGGAATCAAACAGGTTTGATCTGTAGAGTTGAACTGATCACAGACAGAATTCAGCTTTATGCCTTTTCTCTGTGTGTGTGCGTGCGTGCGTGTGCGTGTGTGTGCGTGCTTGTGCTTCAGGCGGTACTGCAAACTGGTGGTCAGTTGGAACTGGAAGTCAGACCCTTGTTTTTGGTGCCAGACACCAATTGCTTCATTGATCACTTGGACAGACTGAAGAATCTCCTTCAGTGTGGAATGTACATAATAGTTGTGCCTCTGATCGGTAAGAGAAATACACAAGCAAACAGATAATAATTTAACAGATTAACTTGAAAGTATAAAATAACAAATATTGCCAACATTAACTTTTTTATTATTATTATTTATAGACTGTATGGTTTGTGCTCTCTCTCCCAGTGATTACAGAGTTGGATGGTTTGGCTAAAGGCCAGGAGCCTTTTGGCGGCGCAGTAGGGACAGGAGGGCGGAGCAGCGGCAGTCGAGGCAACTACGCCAGCGTGGCCCACGTGCGAGCCGTGCAGGAACAGGCCCGCTCTGCAGTGGCTTTCTTAGAAAAAGGCTTTGAAGCCAGGGAGCCATGCCTCAGAGCCCTGACCAGCCGAGGAAATCAGCTGGAGTCCATTGCCTTCCGTAGTGAAGACACCTCCGGACAACAGGTGAGAGCCAACTGTATCAGACATATCCACGTTTGATAACTATGCAGTTTTGTTTTTTTCTTAATTAAGTGCAAACAACTGAGCTGTGTGTAATTTAATCTGTATAGATACAACTGTTCTGTGAAGACATCTGAGGTTTGTTAGAGAAAGTTGTGAACAAACAGCAGGGTGACATTAAAGCTACAGCAGAGCTACAGTTGTGTCAGAATGGCTCAGTCAAAGTCCTGACATAATCTAACAGAAAATCTGTGGCAAGATTTGAAAATTGATGTTTGCAGGCACACTAAGCATCTTACTGACATGATGCCAGTTGTTTTGCAAAGAAAAATGTGCAAAGTTGATAGAAATTTTACCTCAAAAGGCTAATAGATGTCGTTCTGAGATGGTTTTATTCTGAAAATTATTTACTACTCCCTGTTGTTCTATCTCATAGAATACATTCAAATACATGATTGCAATATTAGGGAATATGGTCAGGTTTTGAGGGATACAACTATTTTCCAAGGTTCTGTATAAAACTGATAGTGAATTAAATTAAAACAAACTCAATTGGTTGATTTGTAGTTTTTCTTGTTTCTCTCTTTTCTTTCCAAACACTAGATGACAAAAGTCTTCAGTCTGGTGCTTTGGTCTCAACTGCCCCTTCTTTTGAGGGACAATTTTGTTTACAGAGACTTCATAATTAATTTTATTTGTTATTCTGTTTATTTATTATGGATATTTAAGATGTATTCTAGTTCCAGTGTTAAATGTTCATTAGAATTTAAAGTTTATTGATTTTTAATAATATGTTCTTACAATATATTACTTGAAAATGGTCTCAAAACAACAACATTATCATTTATTGCCGTAACATCTGGAACAATTTATTGTCCAGCAAAATTTGTTGTGTTGACAGGTCTATTAATAGCACAGATTTTGATTTGCTGTTTTATTTTTTTTTCAGGGTAACAATGATGATGTGATTTTGTCCTGCTGTCTCCACTACTGCAAAGACAAAGCAAAAGATTTCATGCCTCCTCAGAGAAGTATGGACCACTGACTCTGCTGAAAACATATGTCATGAGTGAAACCAGCCTTCTGAAATAACTTTGTGCATTTCCTTTCTTATAAACAGATGGAACAGTGAGGCTCCAGAGAGAGGTGGTCCTCCTTACGGATGATCGCAACCTGTGCGTCAAGGCTTTGACCCGCAACGTCCCCGTGAGAGATATCCCGTCTTTCCTCAGCTGGGCTAAAGTGGGCTGAACCGGGATCGAGATGAAAGCATAGGAACCTAGCTGATGAAGCCTGCTTGTCACTCAGGAGAGAAGACGCATTCAAAGCAGAAGAAGAAGAGGAGGAGATAAGTGAGGAAAGGAAACGATAATGAGAACGCAAAGAACCACTTCTTGAGGAATACAAGCAAATAAAGAGCAGAGTGGTGTTGATGAGCTGATTCCCCCTTGTGAGGAAGTGTTTGCGTGTATGTATGTGTTAGGATCACAGAGCTTCCCTTATTGAGAAAGAGAGACTTAAAAGTCTGATCGGTTGTAAGAGAAAGGCAAAAGCAGTAAAACTGAGTGAGTTGGTCTGTGGGTTGCTTCAGCCTCTGCAAGCAGGTTTCAGGAATAAAACCAGAGAGGGTAACTGTCTATAATCACTTGCTTGATTAAAAACAGCAGTAATTAATATTATACACTCTGCCTGCCTCTAAAGGCAGACCTACAGCAGACCTATTTCCTGCTTGAACTGATGAGCTTCTACAGCAGAGCTGAGGGGTGAAGCCAGACCTACAGCAGGAAGTATCAGGGGAGAATAAAGGGCTGATTCCTGTTTGGGCTTCATTGCGAGTCCAAAATACAAACGCAGCACCTAGAAAGAATCAAATGGAGGCAGTGTGTGTTTCTTGCCTACCAGGAAACACGAGATTCTTCTTTGGCAGCTTTCTTCAGCTTCATGCTAATATGAAACCTTTGTGCTTAAAAAAAACAACACAAGGCGATAACAAAAACAACAAAAATCTTTTGTTTCACTTTTTTTATCTGATGTATATATTTCCAACTTTTGGATCTTGATGAAAAGCATCTGCAAAGTTTTTTTGTTTTTGTTTTTCATGTAGAGATTTGCAAAAAAAAAAACACTTTTTGCAAATCACTCCCCTTTTTGAACAATGCAATTGGTGGATTTAGTTGTTGGGAGTTTTATTCCCAGAAAGACATAATAAAGTAACGTTAGCTTGATTATGAGGCCATTTCTTAATCAGATATAATGAAAGGAAAGATTTTTTTTTTATCAACGAGGAGCATTGCTGAATATTTCCATGTATTTATTGTTCTTTTATATATCTCTTTAGAAATTTGTTCATTTCATAATAAATTCCTTTTAATCAGCATTGCCTGTTCAGAATTAAGGCTGTAATTTAGTTCTTTTACATATTATTTTTTTCTTCTGGTAAAGGTAAAATACACATAAGTTGCAGTAAATTTGTAGAAATACAAAAATGGGGAAAATAAAAACCTTTCTTGATTTGGTCAGCTACTAAATAATGAAGTTTTTTTCCCTTTTCATTAAATGCTTCAAAATGATCTATTTTCAGTACAGTATTTTTTTTTTTACTTGGTTTTACAAAAGCAGAGGTAATAGACATGGTTTTAATGCTTTTTCTTAAAACCCAGAGTTAATCATGTTTTAGATACATGTCTGTCTCACCACCCCTGATTTAAATCATTGCATTATTTCCTGCATCTCATCGTGTGCTGTGTAGCCTGTTAATCGCTTATTTATTGAAATTAGTTGTGCAGCACAAGGGAAACACCTAAAAATGCCTTTAGGACTATGTTTGAAAAACCCTGCAGCTAAAGTTGGGATAATCTTGGGATTCCTTCAGGTATATTTTCTTAATGCTTTTTATGGCAAAATAAAATGATTGGCAAGTAAAAGAAATTCAAAAGGCAAGTTATTGATATATTACCTTAGTCTGCGTGTGTTTTCATTTCAGTGACAGTGCATGAGTCCTCCTTAGTTGTCTTCACCATGTCAAATTCTCACTCCCTTTTAAAGGTTAGTAGCATGTAATTTAAACTATGTTGTACTGGAACTGAATTTGTGGGACTTCCATCATTGACTCGTCTGTTTTTACTTCTGTGAAGCTTCGAGAAAGCTGTTTTCATCGGTGTCTGTTGCGTTTGTGGTTCCGTGGCACGTTTCGTGTGGTGCAAATATATAAAGCAACTAAACTGAACTTTCTTCATCAATAAAACTAATTGAAATAAAGTCCTTTTGAGTCTATGTTCATGTGATCATTTTAGAAATGTGTTATGACAAGAGTAAAAGCATCAGTTCTTTATTAGTCAGTGTTTCAGAAAAACGTGGCAATCAGGTTGTAAGTCTAATAATGCACTCTGCACAATAAATCTTTGTAAAATATTAAAACATTCATTCATTCCTATAGTTGTAAATTAAACCAAACTCCTATAGATTCATAATAAAAAAAAGTTTAAGATGTATCTTCACCTCTCTTAAATAAGCTTTACACAATCTTCCCAATATTCTGGTTATGCCGTTTGCTTATGTAAGTTTTTCCTTCCACACAACTTTCCACTTTGGCACAGCACTCCATCAGGCTTCTGAAGCAGCTACATATTTTTAATTCAAATCAAAAACCCTATATTAGTCTCCATAGCTCTCTATATTCATCCTCTGTGACTTCTGGTCCTCAGTCTAATCTAAAGACCGTACTTTCAGAATTACAGTCCTTTCTGTAATTCTGAAAGCTATAAAATGTTGTGTATGTGTATTTTAATAAAAAAATGTTGGACTTCTGTGATCTTATAATTCCCTTGAGAAATGGGATTTAGGTTTCCTTTTTTGAGCTGTAAACAAAAATCTTTAAAATGAACAGAAACTCGTGTCTTTAGTCATATTCCATAACGTGGCTGAGACTCGTTTGTGAGATTAAAAGCACCTGCCTTTCAGCAGCTATTAAAAAATACTTTTTACTAAGCGCATATTTTTGTATTCATTTTTTGACTGGTCTGATTTTATATTCTTGCAGTAAATGTATTTTAATTATCTGTATTTAACAGCAATGAGGCTTGAAAACATTGATGCAATTAATGGGTTTCACTTAGAAAATGTAGTTGCTAAAATAAACTTTTCAACAATATTCTAATTTATTAACTTCCTAGATATGAGTTTCATTTTTTAAATTAAACTATAAACTGAATTAGTTTTTTTGTTAGTAATTCTATGCAGGCTAGTCAAGTGTCTGGTCCTCATATTTTACTTATAAGATCAACAAAACTATAGTGCTACTATGTATTAGTAAGTAACTGCTTAGAAGAAAATATGAGTTGAATATTTAAACAGCTATTCATTAATAAAGACCATTTAAGAATTAAAAAATACAAAATGATTTTCAAGGAATACTGTTTTTTATGGTAATATACATTTAGACGCTATAATCAATTATGAATATCTAATTGTTTGTGTAGTAACAAAAAGTTTGCAATTAATATGTTTTTCTGTTTGCTAGTTTGTTTGTTTGTTTTTTATAATCATTGCAAAAACGTTTACCAATTGTTTTACTGTCCAAGAATTTCAAGACTATTATGTAAATATTTTTGACATCATATTTATAAAATATCTACTGCCAATTTCAGTTTTATAATTAGAAAACAGCAGGGCATTAAATCATTTATTTATTCTACACCAAATAATTCAACATTAGTCTTTGTACATGTAAGCATGTATATAATATAACATGTTTCACAAATCAGGGCTGTATAAAGTGATCTATTCCTCTTAACCGATGCTTAATATCTGTAAACGTCACATCCACAGAGGTCTCAGGGATTGGTGCCTCTGCAGCTGAACCATTAGCATCCTTTTGCATCAGTAGACTTCCTCGCCTGGATACAGACCACACAGGCAGGCCCTGATTCCCATCATCATGACAACAGGGATGCCAGACAACCAATCGAAGCCCCGCTAAGCCTCTTCTGGAAGCTGATTGGTCCGCCCGCCTGCAGCCTGTTGTGGAATGTCCATCTTTAACCTCTCTGCTCCCATGTACGTTGCTGTCGCCTCTTTATCTTTTCTTAGCGTAGATTACTGCTATATATGTTGCTCCACTCTGGAATGTAGCTTACCGAACATAAAGTTGTTAATTCATGTTTTTTTATGAATCAGTGATGAGTCTGAAAAATATTAAATTATGCCACAAACTCTTTACTGATTGGACAGAATGAGTCCGTATCATTAAAAATGGCATTCTATATATACAAAAAGGTTAAATGAATCAATAAATTCAATATATTTCAGCTGACAGAGGTTAAGCTGCTGTTTACATTTTGCAGCATCACACAAGCTATCTTACCAACCATCATCATAATACGGATACTATTATTAATTCCTGAACGAAGTAGTCATATTTTAATCATATGAGGCTATAGTTTATACATTATTGTTGTTTACCTTTTGCAGTCTGATACTCGGATACAGACATATGATATAATACTGCTGTTGACGATTGGCTATTTATAGACGTCAGATTAAGACTGAAACGGTTAATCAGGTTAGGGTTTCAGTGAGGGGCTGGAAGTGCATAAAACCAAACACACAAGAAAGACGCTCGTCTACCCTCTGCAATAATAAGAGCCCCTGGACCCAATATCGTGTTGACAAGTCATTATGTGTATGGCTCTCCCTCCGCACACCTCAGCTTGCCTCTGCTGGATGTCACAGCATCGCCTAAACTGGGAGAGCAGGGAGAGCGCTGCAGTCAGTCCCCGCATAAAGTGCAACACGATCCGCTCACGACCAGGTTACATTCTTTGCTTCCACTCTGTTTTTTAAGAATCGGTCGCTTTCCTTTTCAGTGGAAGGGAGGAGATTCTCTCTTCGCCGCCATTTTTAGAGAAACTTTGCTGGCTGCTGCCTGACGTTAGCAGCTAGCGGGTTTGGCCAGCCAGCTCCCAATGACAGTTAACGCTTGGCTGTCGTTAGCCAGCTCACCGCTCAGCTAGCCTTGCGTTGCTTTAAATTGTTGTTATTCCTGCCGCCCGTGCCGGTCAACACAGGCGACAAGATACGAATATCGTTAATGTGGAGAAATAGGGAAGACTTGAAGCCAGCTAGACTGTTCTGTGTTTGGGAAGGGCAGTTATGCGGTTTATTTAGCGAATTAGCATTGCTATCTTTACAACTAGCGAAATTCCCACTTTGGTTTCTCTGAACTGCATTGGCTGTCTGTGATTTTTAGCCACCCCAGGCAGCTGCGGGCAGGGTGACTGAATTGTTCACCTAATAACTCAACTCATGTGGATTTCCCCATTTACTTGGTGAGTCTAATTTTTTTTCCCTATTAACGGTTGATGATTTTAGTTTTTACAACAGTTGTTTTTTTTTCGGAGGCTTGTTTTCAACGCCTATTAGCATCCGGGCTAGCCAGTCAGATTTGCTGCTATTCGCCTGCTAATAGAAAGTTACTGTCACAACTTTATATGTGAAATATGTTTCTCTTCCACATATTTCACATTTCCCAATTTCGCTTTGCGTGGTGATCAGTTGGTTGTATAACAAATCTTTGTTTTTAATGTCAACGTGAATCGCAGTTAATCTAAAGATGCAGGGACACGGGCTAAGGAGCTAATTGGGGATGTAAATAATGGATGCAGATCGCTTTATCAAATAAGTGTTAGCTGGATGCGGTTAGCTTGCTAATCCGCTTTATGCAGCGATCGTTGCAAGCCGTGCCACTCCCTCGGTTTTGTTTTTGTCCAGTGTAGCCTTAAGCTAACGTCAAGTCCAGTTCGGTTCTGGATGCGTTTCGCTTGGTTTGGGAAGTTTTCTTATCCACCAGATGTATCATGAGTCATAGACTGCTGTGCGTGATTCATTGGTGACATCGGTCCTGGCTCCCATGCATATGTCGCACATAAGTTTCGTATTGTGGCTGTGTGTTTACAAGCAACACAGGGCAGCGGAGGATAACGAATCAGTGCCCTAATATCGCGTTAGAGCGACTGGCAGCGGATCCATCGGCAGCTGATGGCTGTTTTTTTTATGCGCTGACGTGAGTCGCATTCCTCAGCTTTGTGTGTTGATATTGCGTAACACGGGCGAGCACTCAGTAGGCTGCCCTTCTGCTGGCTTTATCTGGGACTTTTTGTCGCTGAAGTTATGCATGACACGGTGGATCACCTGCATTAGGAGCATTGGTAATATAAATTGTGCATGGCAATACGTTGGGATTTGTAAACAGAGGATGAAGGCAGCTTAAATGTTATGTCAGTGGCTGGATAACCTCATGTACCTGAACACCCACACCGTGTTCTGTGCGCTAGATGGATATAAACCCAGTGAAGCCAGCACTGCAGTATGAGCAGCTCACCTGTAAACGGGTTTAATGCAGTCTTTATGCTAAAGTTATTTTGTTTTTTTGTCGATTTGTGCTCCTGTCAATTTTTTCTTTCCATCACTGCGTGATTGCTTCAAGTACAGTGCTTTCAAAGGCTCAAACTGAAGCCCCTTTTAAAGTTTTAATGTTTTACTTGCCAGCTTTGTATTAGAGGGCACTGAATATGGACAAACAGAATGATGGATTTAAGTATCTTCCAAGAAAAATGGATTAGACTCTGGAATAAAGCCTACTCTGCTTTATTTAGCCATTGATAGTCTGCCTCTGCAGAGCAAATTGCTCCACAGGATGAGCCTCCTAGCTTCCATAATAGATGTGATTTTTGCACAGCATTTATAAGGCACATTAACCTTAACCCTGCTGTGTTTTTCATGGTTTTTCATTTCAGTTGTTGTGATGACTGATGACTGCTTCATTGTCTTCTGGTTTTAATGGTGTTGTTCACAGTGTAGAAGTAATGTTTTTTATTTTTAATTCAGTTTTTGTGATAAAGTAGGCATAAAGAACATTTTTATAGATTACAATATTCAGTGTAGTTAAAAATACAGTTATAAAACCACAAAAACTTTCCGGCGTAACCATTATTTTCTGTCTTGAAGTCCTTTAACTAAAATGTCGGTAGTTATTGGAGTTATCAGAATTATTAGTCTTCTGTCTGTCTATGGAGCATAGAGTAGTAGAGGAATAACACTGTTTAAAAAACAAAACTGTTGTTAATCTACAAGCAGCTTATTTGTTATGCATCCAGCTGTAGGCTAGCAACCACTTTGCGCATGTTATTTATTGCTCTATGAATAGCACAACAGTAAAAATGTTTTAGTCTAACTTTAGTCAGCAGTCAGTCTGGTTTTTTTAAGGCTTTGTTTTATACTCAAAACACTAATTAATGAATTCCAGAAAACATTACAACAGTAACAATCAATGTGGAATAAGTAGGAATAATTGCATAATAATTTTCTACAGGTAGATCATTTATACAATTATGTTTTGTACTTTTTGAGGAAACTGTGAAACCTTCATTTTAGTCAAGGTTTCAATAACCTTGAGATACTGTGAAAACCTCCAAGGTGTTCATGTCCATGTGTCTATTATTAGTTTAGACCAAGGAAAAAATGATCAGTCAAATCTTTTTATTTTCATGCAGTTCTTCAAATATGCAATGTAGAAAGTGAAATATTTATTTATAATTTGTTGTTTGATTTGCTTACTACATACTTATTCACTCTACAGTGGGCATGGATGATTGTAAAAATAGAAACTTTGAGTACAAACAAACATAGTTTCAACACATTAGCAGCAACATGCGGGAAGAGGCACCACTCTTTAAATGTATGCTCTTTTAGGGCTGGAGAATAAGTCAATAACATTATAGGCAGGTGATCAAAATCAATAAATAACACAGTTGACAGAATTTTCAATAATTTCACTGAACTCCAATCCAGAACTGCACAGCATTCTGGGGATGCAGGCAGAAGAAAGACTTCAGCTGCTCCATCATTCATGGTTAGCTAAGCTGTGTTGGGACCATCAACTCGCTCCTCAGTTGCCTAGCAACAACCTGCTGAGTAATTTGCACATCAGCAGTTTCAGGTTTGCCACCGTGCCTCATAACTGCTTAAAAATAAAAAGCAACAGAGTAGATTGAAAACTGGATGAAAGAAGAAAAGTCCTGCCAAACCACCAGTTTGGCAGGATTTGTTATTTAAAACAAAAAACTAATCACTAATTATCTATCAACGGATATGATTCATTACTATATTGGAAAACTGCAGCAACTCTGGAACCCTTTAAATAAAATAACTTGAGTCCATAGCATTCCAATGAAATGAACATATTTGGAGTTTCATGTCTTGATGAAGGTGTTGCATTTTTTAACTCGGCTTTCTGCAGTCCAGACACAGTTTAGCACATTGGTGATTTTACACTGGTGCCATTTATTTTAGTTGCAGGAAGGTGAATGGAGCCTGGTGGTTGAAATGTGGTGGCTTAAATCCTCTTAGGGTTTGGTCACTTCTTTTCTCTCCCATCACAATCGTGACTGTAGCTGCACAAAATGGGATGTGTCACTTTTATGAATTTGGGGCGGGGGTGCTGGAGAGTTTTGACTTCCTCCCTTCAGTCAAGTCAACAATCTGTAATCAGTCTGGGAAGCAAGAGCGTGGACGCCCCACCCTCCATCTTGGGATAGAGATGTAGTGTGTGTGTGTGTAAGCCATTTGGATAACAGCTCTCAAGTAGGTCCTGAAATTAAGATTTTCTCTGAACAAATAGCGGTGATGTTGCTGTGTTGCTTTTATTGAGCGCCTGCCTGATGATCAGTGAGTAATCCTACACCAACACTCGGTTTATTGATTGATTCCAGTACTGCTGGTGACTGGTGTTTCTTTTTTACATATGAACAGTTAAACATATCATTTCTTCATTTTACTGAACTCTTAAATAGGTTGGAAACACTTAAATAATGTAGCTTGTGTTTATAAATTAATATCTTTTGCAATGAGAAGCTAGGAAATATTTAATGTGCATCAAGGCCAGTTTCATGAAGCCGATCAGTTTAGAAGACGAGCAACCTAAGTGCATTTCTATTTTGAATTATTTAGTATTGCAGCATTAAGCATCTCTCAGTGAGTATCTGTAGGAGAGAGTGTGTAGATAAAATAGTTTATATATGAATGAATGAAATAAAACATAATCAATATACAGGTGTTATTCTTTAAAAACATTTCCGTGCTTTATGAAGAATTATGCTTGATAACTTTTAATTAAATACCAATTCCACAGTTTTAATATATCAACTTGGACAAAATAGTTTGTCAAAGATGTGATAAAGGCCTAACATAAATTCATCTTTTGTTTGAAAAGCAGAAAACCAAAGCCTTGCATGTGAGCACATTAACATACAAAAATGTATTTGTTTTTCACCAGGTGTTGACATCCCAGCTGCCAATTTTTATGCATTTTAATCTTTTGTAACAATTCACAAAGAGGGAGACATCTTTGATGATTTGTTCTCGTTAGATCGGTGGTTCTTAAAAATTTTTTATTACAAATATCCCTTCAGTTGCTGCTATCATATCCAAGAGGTGCTTTTCTACATCTTTTGTTTTATGCCAAACCCACATCGAGTTTGCCAAAAATCTGTCTTGGTCTCATTTGACCAAAGTACACAGCATCCTGTTGAAAGTCCCAGTGGAGTTGAACAAACTTGTTCTCACTTGTGGTGATGGGGCAGAAAGGGGCTTTTCCTGAAATCTCTCCCAAACAACCGGTTGGCTTTTACCAGCTGACTTATTGCTCCTAAAATGTCACCTTTTACTGAAATTCTCTAATAATGAGCTCTGGATGGGTGTTTTTTTCCCCTCTCCTACTGACTTGCTTGTTGTGTATTGTGACAAGATAAAAATGGTTCCTTGTCCAATCTGTTGGACTATTGCTACCAGAAACGAGCCTCTATGTCGCATTATATTTATATAGAAGAAAAACAAGAAGTCAGATTTCTAAGTAGAGGTTCCTAGAAGCTCTGATCATGTTAAAATAATCAATAAAAATACTTTAAGAGACTATTCTACTATTTCTGCCAATGATTTTGTTTTCAATTTTAGAATTAATAAAACATAGTTTAAGGCTTTATGTCTTTACAAGGGATGCCACCTTGTCTGAATCTCCAACAGTAGTGCTCTTATAATTCACTCAAACATTGCTTAGTTGTGTCCAAAAACTTTGTTGTAATTGCATCTAAAAATTAGGTGTTACTGGTATTTCTAGAGTAACATCTAAAAATTAGATGTACATCTTTGAGTAAATTTTGTAGACTAGTATTTTTTTAAATATTTTTGAAATACCCAGCAAATTTCAGATTCTTTCTAGAAATCAGTAAAAGCATTTATTATCCATCTCTCCATGTCATTCTCTGTGCTGCACCTTTCTCCTCTTCATCTTTTGCCTCTTCATTAGCCTCTTTGTTTATTTAACAGGACATAGAAAAGCAATTGACAACTCATCAAATAATCATTTTCTTCTAGCTGTAAGAGGGAAAAAAATTCTGTGATTTTTATTTTGAACACACTGTTCCTCTGAGTAATTATACATGCGCGCACACACACACACACACACACACACACACACACACACACACACACACACACACACACACACACACACACACACACACACTACAGTTGGGCACGTCTCTTCCAGATTAAGTCTTGTGACTTTGTGCTCAGTGTTCTGTTTCATTTCGTGTGTGACAAACAGAGAGAAATAGCTGATTGTGCTTTAGCTTTTTTTTTCTTTTTACTCTGTATGAGTATAAACTGTTTCTGCTTCATGCTGGCTCATAAACTGAAATCCAGTGACCTTAGGACATAAAAGCAAGAGATGAGGATGTTTATCAGAAAGGGTAAGCAGCTAGAAAAAAAACGAGGTTCTTAATTGGTCTCCTGCAGAGTTGCAGTCAAGCCTAATAAGGCAATAACTTTCTTTATTACTAAGTTTTCAATGATTAATTCTGGATGACAGAACAAGATCAAAACTATTAAAACTAATAGTGTGAGTAAAAGTAATCAGAATCACAAACATAATTTAAGGATGCAGTAGCAATTGAGGTCAGCAGATTTTCTTACTCGGCTCTGAAGCTGAACTTTGTTTTTCTTTGTTTTGATTCTGGGAATTTCTTCAAAATATAAAACCACATCTAAAGGTTACGGCGGGGGGAAGTCTGACAGATGAGAAGATTACGCTCTGAAATTCCCAAATATATTTTAGGCTTTTTTGAGGCATTAAATATTTTTAGTTAGAAGGAAGATTTTTAATAATATTGATACTGTATTATGGTGTTTTATTTGATGTGTAATTTTAATAAGTACAATGAAATCTTGTGTTTTTCAGCTTCTAATGTTTGCTTGTAGGCATAAGGGGAAAGGTATGCAGTATGAATAGGGCATAACATCTTAAGTATGAGGAAGTACCGTGTGGTTTTATCTGGAAAAACTTTGTTTCAAAAACATTACAGGAAATCTTCACTCATGACCATGTGTTGACTTATTACCAGCTGGGCATGTGGGTGACTATTATTGAAGGGCAATTAGGCCCTTCTTTAGGCCAAAAGCTCAAATTAAAATACTAAAAATTATGGCCATTAAAACTGACAGCATTTTTGGCAGTTTTAATGGCCCTTAAATTAATCTTGAATCAATTAGCTTTAGTTTTACAGTAAAAGAGAAAAGTGAGTTCACTTTGTTGTGTTTTTATGTTGCTCCAGAAAAATGTCGATGAGCAGGATTGGCAACATGAGCCCAGAAATCATCAAACGATGCTCTGGAGCACACTTTGAAATCTGAGAAGTTTAATGTGTTTTACCGCTAAGGGGTTCACTGCACCAAACAGATTTCATCATAGTACATCATTATAGAGTTCACATAAATGGTGGCACGTCTATAAATGGGTATCCACATTTGAATTTTACATTCAAAAAAAGAAACTTTTAAAGTTGGTTTATTTTTGACTTTCCCATTTGCTTTTAGTTTTTAATTGGTTGAACTCCTGGAAAACAAATTGGAAAGTCAAAAAAACAAAACAACTTGAGATTTATTTTATTTGGTGATCTATTAATAAAATGGAAATGATTTTTATCTTGTGCTATGTAAAACATGTTCGCCCTGATGGACAGTAATGCCAGAATAGCTCAAAGATGACAAAAGAGTCTTTGTGGTTTCTGGTCTTAATGAAAACAAAATTTGATTAGATGCTGCATTGGATTTTACAAAATGTCATGTTTACTTGGAAAAGATCACCCAAATATTCTATATAAGGTATTATTATTGTGTCCCACTTACCTCACTCACCAGTGCCAGTCAGAAGGTTGTCAGATATGCCTTTATTGATGTTTACATTCAGAGTTGTTTCCTGAAATGCTACGCTAGAGCTAGCATGTTTACTCTCTGTTGTGATATGACTCATTGATAATTTCCCTTCTGTAACCTTAGTGTCAAATTATCAGTTTGAAGGTACTTGTGTCCACAATTTTTTATTAATATTACCAAGATATTTTTTTTTATTTTGCCAATAATTAAACATCAATTTAAAAAATAGACTCTGCACTCGGATTATTTTGTGTGTTTTCTACGATATGATCTGTAATCATTCCCTAGAATAATAGATGGGTGACTTTTCTTTAAGTACACCTGCTGTTTACATGCTCTAGTGTGCATGTAAACAATTTAATCAATAGTGAAATAATTTAGTTGATCAAAGGACAATTTTTTTGTGTTGTACTTATTTTATTTGTCCATTTTTTTGCAAGATTGAATTGTTTTATCTTTATAATGCATAACCTCAGAGAAAATCTCACCCTATAATTACAAAAACTAACTAAATGAAGTGTGTCTGCAACCATCGCCTGTAACGTTCTTGAATTGTGGTCACTGGCCTTTTAAAATCGTCCAGAGGGCTGTGAATGGTCCACAGGCCACACTTTTGACCCCCCTGCTGTATAGTGTGCGTTGGCATGTAAAAGGTGCACACATTTTGTGAGAATATGAATAATGTCCTACAGAGTTCATGTTATAACTGGAGTAAAATTGATGAATTGCATTTAGAGAAGAGCTTGCATTCCTATTCATCTTGCTTCTCATTACTGTGGGTTGCCTCCTTGTTGTGGACACTAAATCAATCCTGCAATATTTGCATTGCCCCAGTCACGCCAGTAGCTTACAGATCTGCAGTAATTGCTGAAGCAGTCTAAACAGATGCGTTAGTGATGACTCTGTAGTTGGTTCATCATGCTATTGTCAGCAGCTGGAAGAATAACCAGCTATTTAAAATATTCAAAGAGCTGCTGAGATTTCTGAGGAAACTGTTGTTTACTTTGATTATCTGAAGAGCTGATGCAGAATATATCAGGACTTCCTTCAGCCATGCTGTCTCACAACTTGTTAATCATTTCATTGGAAGTATTTATGTGAAGCTGATTAGAAAAAACTTCATCATAACGATGTTAGAATGTCATTGTCAAACTGAGGCATCAGTCCAGTTTTTTGGCATAAACAGTTTGAGCTCCAGCAGTTTGAGTTTAAGATGAAGAGACGTTCTGTCCGACTATTCTCACTGAGGATCACACCTTTTTGATTTTTTTACCATCTCTGTTCAAATGCTGGCTTACTGACTCATCCTGAGTATCTCCCTCTTTCTGTGCAAAATGAATGTTTTTTGTTGTTTTCTTATTTCTCTTTTCCTTTTCTCACACCTCAATCCTCCTCTATCTTCTGTCTGTCCAGGTGCCCATGCGCTGACTTCCTCAGGCTCCCACATAGCTGCAAATGAGTCTTCAGCTGCTTTGGTGTAGCTCTGCGCCCAGATAGTCCCATCCCCTCTGTGCGGGCGATACGGGACTACGTAGACCAGGATGCCTTCCTCTGTGAGGGCGGGGAGCCTGAAGGATCCAGACGTGGCCGAGCTGTTCTTCAAGGAAGATCCAGAGAAGCTTTTCTCTGACCTCCGAGAGATTGGTCATGGCAGCTTTGGGGCTGTCTATTTCGTAAGGCAACAATTATTTACACCACTTGTACAATATACTTTATCTTAGCAGTAAAAGGTTCTATTGAATAGCTATTTTAGCTGCCAAATTAAGCCACCAAGGGATTCAAACACAGCCTATAGTGTGTTTTCCATACATTACTGTTTTAGATTTTACCAGATAAGTGTCGCAGGAGAAGCTATGTCCTGTTCAGCAAAGCTTGACTGATCTAATCACATCCGTCCATGAAGGAGTTTAATTACACCAAGTTTCTGTGACTTTCCTGATGTTTCACAGCTGACTGCAGATTTTAAATGATACTTTATTCTGTTGGTGCAAACAAAGACCTTCTTGTTGAGATTAATGTACAGAAAGCCAAAGGTCAAACACATGTTTGGTTTGAAATGCGAATCAACAGATGTGCTTTTTGTTTCCCAGGCACGGGATGTGCGGACGAATGAGGTGGTGGCAATTAAAAAGATGTCCTACAGCGGCAAACAGTCTAACGAGGTAAGACGTTTTTCTTTTTTTTTTGTTACACAACCTATTTTCATCAATAAATTAAGGACTATTGGGTAGTTTGGAAAGAAATTACATTTTCCAGATCTGAGTAAATATATTAAGATGACACAAGAATTAAGAAAAATATTTAGATTCCCACACGTTAAATAAAAATGTAGAAAATCTCAGTTTGTTTCACCAATTGAAGTTTGGATTAAGCGCAGTGCTGAAGTTTGAGATGTTGTTTTTTATCTCCCAAAGTTGACACCAATTTCTGCTTTATGTTTGGGATGCACTTGCTCCTGCAGCCATCTCTGAGCAGACAGCCGATTAAAAACGTTGAACCTGTTTTGTCTCCCGCAGAAATGGCAGGACATCATAAAGGAGGTGAAGTTTCTCCAGAGGATCCGACACCCTAACAGCATAGAATACAAAGGATGCTACCTTCGTGAGCACACAGCATGGGTAAGTTATTTATTTCCATGAGCTGAATTTAATTAAAATGTCACCTTTTTGTATAATCCATCATTTATTGGTGTATGTGTGGAGGAATTGTTATGATCGATCCTTGTTTTTAGCTGGTGATGGAGTATTGCCTTGGCTCAGCCTCTGACCTGCTTGAAGGTGAGCTAAAGTAAAAAAAATAATAAAATTTCTGGCTGCCTGTTTACCCTGATTAGAAAATCAGAATCATTACCTCTTAATATTTTTCATTCCTCTACAGTCCATAAAAAACCTTTACAAGAAGTTGAGATTGCTGCCATTACACATGGTGCTCTGCAGGGGCTGGCGTACCTTCACTCCCACAACATGATCCACAGGTGAGGGATTTCACATGATGCAGGTTTATTTATGTTCGTAGGACGTCACTGAATGGTTTCCATCGCTCTCTGTCGCACTGCTTATATGTTTCAGGGATGTGAAAGCTGGTAACATCCTGCTGACTGAGCCTGGCCAAGTCAAGCTGGCAGACTTTGGCTCCGCCTCCATCGCCTCACCTGCCAATTCCTTTGTGGGAACGCCATATTGGTAAGTAAAAATAATTTATATACACCTAAACTACCTGCTAAGTTTGAACAAAAATAAATAAAAAAAATTCTCCCCTCCCTCTTTCAAAATAAAAATACTCTTTGCAGTTTCTGAGTTCCTGGAAATATTTTGATCTTCACAGTAGATTTGACTGTAAAAAGAGTTTACCTCTGTTTGCATATTCATGCTAAAGGCTACCAGCTCCTGTAGTCAAATGTGGCTCTCCAGTGTCTCCTCTCAGCAGCTTAAACTCCAAATGTAAACATTGACACATGTCAGTGGGAAAAGAAAATCTTAACTTTGCCACAAAACAAAGCTGTTTTGTTTTTTGTGTGTGTTTCTTTCAATTCTGTCACACAAAGGTAAAACAAAGGATGTCAAACAACAAAGTGTGATGGAAGCATCTCGTAGATTTATTGTGAACTCTGATTTGTACTTTTCCCCAGGATGGCCCCGGAGGTGATTCTAGCTATGGACGAGGGCCAGTATGACGGGAAGGTGGACGTCTGGTCCTTAGGCATTACCTGTATAGAATTAGGTACGTCACAACACTTCTTTAGTGTTGACCAGCAGTTCTCATAGTGGGGCGTGACCCTGAGGAGCTTTATTTGATTTTTTTCTTCCAGTCTAAAGATCAATGACCCTGTAACTTAGGTATGTTGTCTGACCATTTTTTTTCAGCGGAGAGGAAGCCTCCATTGTTTAATATGAATGCAATGAGTGCCTTATACCACATAGCACAGAATGAGAGCCCCACACTGCAGTCCAGTGAATGGTAAGCATTGTTTTTCATTTTTATCTTCATGTATGTAAATAAGTAAAGTGATCTATAATGAAAACAGAAAGCAACAATGTATGTGCTAACCTTATTAGATTAAAGCATCTTTGCTCTCAAGAGAAACGTATTTTTAGTGTTGATATTTTGATCTGATAGATTCTGTTTGACCTTCTGTCTTTTCACCTTTATTCCAGGACGGATTACTTTAGAAACTTTATTGATTCTTGCCTTCAGAAAAATCCTCAAGACAGGCCACATTCTGACGACATGTTGGGTGTAAGTAAACACACAATCAGTACGATTTCACACAGCAAGATCATTGTGGTGATATGGCAGCCTGTCAAATTGTCAATAAATCTTTTTTTTTCTTTCATTCTTTTTTGACTTCCTGTTCCCTGTTGGAAGTCTTGCTCTCTCTCATTCTCTTCCACTGCACATGTCATAGAAACTACAGTTTTCTTTTATGTCTTTCTTCCAGTTTATTTTAAACACCACACTGAGACCAGAAATGGCTGACTTTGAGTCTTCTTCACTCATTCATTCATCAGAAAAAGATCTTGGATTTTTTATTTATTTTATTTTTATGATTGTTTGATCATTGGTCAGAGCTAAACTGAAAATCTGCAAGTGATTTATTGATTCTTTTTTTCATTTTGATCTGCTGTCATCATTAGAAACAATTTGTCATTTAATATTTTGGTGTTTAAATTGGTTTTATCTTTCTTCTATAATTCCTAACTGTCATTTGTCCTAATTGGAGTTACTGTGACTCGTGTGTTTATTCTGGTTTATTCCTTGTCACCCTGCCCTCCAGCACGCGTTTCTCCAGCGTGAGCGTCCAGACTCTGTGTTGATGGATCTCATTCAGAGAACCAAGGATGCTGTTCGGGAGCTGGACAACTTGCAATACCGCAAGATGAAGAAGATCCTCCTTCAGGAGGCTCACAATGGGCCCACCACTGAAGCCCCGGAGGGAGATGAGGTCAGTTGGAGGATTTTGTTTCTGAGCTGTATTTGCTCCTTCATTTAGAGCAAATAATTAAGCATATGCTGGTTTCTGTGCATGTCTGTCCCTCTTCGTACTTTCTGTGCCTCTTGGTCTCTTCTCGCTCTCTCTCCCTTGCTTTCTATCCGTGTGCTCTGTCCGCTCTGCTACAGGACCTGGAGCTCGGCGGAGGTCGCACAGGAACGGTGAACAGCGTCGGCAGCAATCAGTCCATCCCCAGCATGTCCATCAGTGCCAGCTCCCAGAGCAGCTCTGTTAACAGCCTGAACGAAGCAGCGCAGGACAGCCGCAGCGAGCTGGACCTGATGGACGGAGACCACACGGTCATGTCCAACAGCTCCGTGATACATGTCAAACCGGTGGGTAGAGGGACACTAAAATTTGTTCAATTATCTTATAACCTCATAGTCTCTAGGTTATACATATTGGAAATTCTGATCTCCAATGAACAGAGGATTTATTTAACAAGCAAAAACTGTTAAACAGTATGTTCACCTTTTTGGACCCAAGGTCCAAATTCTCAAATAATCCTAAGACTAAAAGTAGGTCCTAGGGATGCCATTTTAGGAGAAATAGCTGAATTTATGAAAAGTTAAGATTTTTCATAGAATAGAAAAGCATCTTAGGCCTTAAAAGAGCTCTTAACATGTCAAACTGTCAGAAGTAGTGAGGAAAACCTTTACTGAATCAAAGAGGGTCTTAAGCAACAAATGTGGTAGAAAATAAATATTCTCCATGAAATGAAAAGGGCTGTACAGACAGCAGGTGCTGTACTTAATGCTGCATGGCAATTGATTCAATTTGTCATAGTTTTAACATCATGATACACTCTTCTTAATCCAGTCTAGACTGTACATTTAGTTGATTTCTGTCAACTGATTACTGGAGGCATATTGGTGCTTTTATGTCTTATTTTGCTTCCAGTATCATCCAACCAAGCCTTATTGATTTAAGACTCAAGAAGTAAAAGTTATATTCCATTTCTATTGTAGTTTAGATGATGAGATACAAGTTTTCTATTTTTTTTCTGGCAACATTCGGTTCCTTACTTGTTGGTGGCCATAATGCTCCATTACATTGTTTGTCAACCACAGTTAAAAAAGAAGTAGAAGAATAAAAACCGATCTCAGTTTCTCGAGGACAGCATCACACCGAGCAACGGGGTCTAACACCTTTCTCACGAAGGTATTATTTCTGTCATCTCCTCGCTCAGAGTGGCTCTCAGCTGACTGAATCGCTGCTAAGCTACGACTTATTGGCAGGACTTTTTAGTTTGAGATGGGAACGCTCTGTGATTCTCTGAGAGTACAAGCCCAAATTTGCAGAGTGCCAGAAAAGCAGTCGCTCTCTTGACAGATTCTCCCACCTCAGATGTAGATATTTGAAGAATATCGACTATGACAGTGAACCACACTGTTTCCATTTTCCAATGCCAGATTGGACTGCACCTTATCATCATCTGCTGTGTTCCTTTGTCCTTATTGTATTTTTTTCATTTTTACAATTGTGCAATACTTTATGTTTGACTATCACAGAACTACTTGATAGGAAATATTGTGATGGTGATACTTTTAGTAAATATTGGAGTGATGATATGAGTTGTCACATTGCCTCCTTTAGTGTTTTAGACACTGCCGTCTGTGTCTGGTGTAGGTAGCAACAGCAGTGAAACTCCATCCAACAGGCCTAATATATTACTGACATGTAGATTTTGATATCAAGACACTCTGTTTTTATGTGCTAGCCAATAAATATTGGATTTCTAAATGCAAACTGATGAGATGACTACATATCTGTATCATCTTCTTAGTTAAAATCCAGATTAAATTCTTTTAATTTTATTGTCAAAGCCTGACAATGTGGAAAAAATTTCAGCAGTTTTAATATTTACAGTATGTAAATTGCTTTCAGTGAAGAGAGTTGATTTTGTTACTCGGGCTGCATCTTCTTTTAATTATATTTCTTTAGTGTTCCTTCATTTAAATATTGACTTCACTTCTTCACTTTAAGACTTAAGAAAGAACCTGAAATAAAAAATCATTTTGAAACAAAATGGAAATGTTGCTTTTAGTGGCATTTTTTCTTCTGCCATTTTTTGTTTCCATGAATAATTTGGGCTTGGAGACCGATGTGAAATGTTTGTCACTTTGTATCTCAGTCTTCGGTTTAGCCTACATTATCTGTCTTGTTGTGAAAAGCTAATGGCTCTGTAATGTCCGCCCACTCGTGGCCTGTTCTTTCAAACAAGGTGATGCTAGAAAAGCAGAGCTGTACATTGTCGTTGTTTCAGTCCAGGCTTTTTGTGGCTGTACAGCAGAAAGTTTCATACAATATGTCTCAGAATGCAGCAGTTTTCATGCGGTGCTATTACAGAAGTCTTCATTCGTCAGACGTTTTTCTCATTTTGTCTTGTTTGAACTAAAAGTGTCAATATTTTGATGGATTTGACATAATAAATCAAAACAAAAAGGCATAGAATTGGATCAGAATAGACGTTTGACATGCTCCTTTTTAATCTAACACCTCTAGAGAAAATAATAAACTCTTGTGACGCTAATTGCCTTCAGCTAATTAGTAAATAGGATCCACCTGTGTCTATAAATCCAGCTGTTACATGAAGGCCTCCAATGTTGGATGAAAATGAGAAAAGTTTGAATCATTGACGTTTGTAACGTCACACGGCGCTGTGCAGTTTGTTTAGAGAACCAGTGTAGCTAAGCTAGCAGGCTTGGAAGGGAACGTATTAAAGGTAATTCGGTCTTTTGATTGAGGTGTGTTGGGCCAGAGAGACATCTAAAAGTAGCAGGACACCAGGTGTCGTCGCCTGGAATGATGATTTGTTTTGCCCCATTTTACCATCGATTCCCAGTTGGGAGATTTCTGCATCGGTTTACAGTAATGAGGGTAAGTTGACACAAAAGTCTGTTGACATGAGAGAGACTGAAGCCTATTTGCCAGGTTAGTGGGGGAATTGATCAGACCCCACTTCAGTCATACAAACATGTTTGAAACCAAATCCGGATGCAGTTGGACAGAGAGATTTGATCACAGATCGAACTGCAAATTAATGTTTCTTCTGTAAGCCTTTTCACTTCTTTCTAGGGTTTTTTGCACTGAACATAACTGCAAAATAAATGTGTTTAGTTTCGGCTTAATTTACATTCAATATGACCAGCACGATCCAAATAAAACTTTATTTTGAGACATTTGTGGGTTACACCTAAAGTGTTTTTTAATTGCTTTGTTTGTTTTGTGGGGAGAATGACAGAAATACAGTTTGATTTCTCAAACTGCATTTTTTCCTTTACTAGAGCCACTTACTGCTTTGTTTGTTTAGCCTGTGAAAAGCTGAAGAAATATGAATACTTTAGTGGGCCACTGCATGGCTGAGATTATGTAATTAGTTAAATTTATTGAGCACATCCATCCATTCAATCATCGTTTGCACCAGCTTATCCTTGACGGGTTGCAGTCACACTTTAAACTTTCTGAGTATGACTTTTAGGAGCCAGCAGAGGGCGCACTAACCTTAAATTAGGTAGTTTTGGAAATTTGGCATGTCAAAACAAAATGCTACAGTAATCTAAATGTGTTTTATATATTGTGTAATACTCTTATTCCGAGTTTCTAAGCAAAAGGATGTTTTTTTATTTCTGCTCTTTATCTAGGAGGAAGAAGAGAGTCTTTCTGGGGAGCAGGCAGCCAGCAGTCAGCCAACTGAGCCACAACCGGCACCGGCTCAGGCCCCGAGGAAGCACTACCGCAACAGAGAGCACTTCGCCACCATACGCACGGCGTCACTTGTAAGACCACCCTCTCTCTTCTTCTCCTCTCTCTCTGAATTCTCCTGCTGTTCTCATCATGGACGACGTCTTGCAGGTGACGCGTGAGATGCAGGAACACGAGCAGGACTCAGAGCTACGGGAGCAGATGTCGGGTTACAAACGGATGAGAAGGCAGCATCAGAAGCACCTGATGGCCCTGGAGAACAAGCTGAAAGGAGAGATGGATGAGCACCGGATGAGGCTGGACAAGGAGCTGGAGAGTCTGAGGAACAACTTCACTCAGGAGATGGAGAAGCTGCTGAAGAAACACCAGGCTGCACTGGAGAAAGATGTACGTAACCCAGCTAAGGCTAATTATTATGCTAGAAGCCGTTATTTGTGTTTATTTATTTTTTATGTGATTTAGCTGAAGACATTTGCCAACGATGAGAAGAAGTTCCAGCAGCACATCCAGGTTCAGCAGAAGAAGGAGCTGAGCAGCTTTTTGGAGTCACAGAAACGAGAATATAAACTACGCAAGGAGCAGCTAAAAGAGGTAACCCTTCAAATGCCTCTGATTGTTATTGATCAGTTTGAATAATATCTCAATCTAAATGTTGAACTAAATCATACTTGTATGACAGGAACTTAGCGAGAACCAGTCAACTCCCAAAAAGGAGAAGCAGGAGTGGCTGTCCAAGCAGAAAGAAAACATTCAGCACTTTCAGGTGAGTTCTACAAAGGCACCCTGTGGATTATGTGCTTTTTAAAAAGTAACATAAAGGAAAAGCTTTGTAAGGTTTGTGGGAGTTGGGTTCCTGTTTGTGTTTCATGACATGTTTGTCCGATTATTGCAGGCGGAAGAAGAGGCCAACCTGCTGAGGAGACAGAGGCAGTACCTGGAGCTGGAATGTCGGCGGTTCAAACGGAGGATCCTCATTGCCAGACACAACGTGGAGCAGGATTTGGCAAGAGAGGTACATAAAGGCGTTTGGACATAAGTTTTTAGCTTATTTCTTTGTTTGAATGATCTTTCACAACTCTTTAGGAGCTGAACAAGCGGCAAACACAGAAGGACCTGGAACACGCAATGCTGCTCAGGCACCATGAGTCCATGCAGGAGCTGGAGTTCAGGCATCTGGCGACCATCCAGAGGGCGCGCGCCGACCTGATCCGGACCCAGCACCAGACGGAGCTCACCAACCAGCTGGAGTACAACAAGAGGAGGGAGAGGGAGCTGAGGCGGAAGCATGTGATGGAGGTCCGGCAGCAACCCAAGAGCCTCAAGGTACAAGGATCAGCGCAGAGCTTCTTTTCTGAACGAACAATCCACCTAAAAACCAACTTCTCTTCTTCCGTTTTTAGTCCAAGGAGCTTCAGATCAAGAAGCAGTTCCAAGAGACGTGCAAGACGCAGACCCGGCAGTACAAGGCTCTCAGGAACCACCTCCTGGAGACCACGCCCAAATCTGAGCACAAGGCCGTCCTGAAGAGGCTGAAGGAGGAGCAGACCAGGAAGCTGGCCATCCTGGCCGAGCAGTACGACCACTCCATCAACGAGATGCTCTCCACCCAGGCGGTGAGCGTCAAATCCTGAAACGGAAAAAATTCTTGATTAATCGGATGAATCAATTATTGAAAGAATTGTCAACTAATTTAGAAATCGCTTAATTGTTAACTGGAGGATACAGACTCAAAAAAATGGCCATTTGTTGAAAGAGCACCACACTCAGCAGTAATTAAACTAAAATTGTACAAAAATACATACACTTTAAGATTAAAAAGAAAAACCTTTCTGTAAATATGTTCTATCCAGATCTTCTCCAGCACCGTAGTGTGAGCTTCACCTTTTACAAACTCTGTAAAAAAAAAAAAAAACTAAAAAAAAAAGCTTCACTGCAGTATTGTTGATTCAAGCAGAAAAAGGTGAGCTTAGAAGTATTGTTAGTTGTACTTTTTTGTTGCATATGCATCCTTTGCAACAACTGATCAAGCATTCTCCAAATAAATGTTATGCTGTTGCATTTTAGGCAATAAAATGTTTTGTTTTTATTCAATTCAAACAATTTATATAACACTAATTCAAAACAAATGTAATCTCAGTGCTCTTTACAAAAAATATATTTTAATTCAATTACACATATATGCATTGAAATTATTAATTTTATCATCAGAATAATCAATAACTTAAGTAAAGGACAGTTGCAGCCCTGACTTTTATGCATTTGTTTACTATCAGTTGTTTAATGTGCCAACAAATGGTTTATTTCTTCTGTCTCTGTGACGCGGCCGCCCCCAGCTGCGGCTGGACGAGGCTCAGGAGGGCGAGTGTCAGGTTCTGAGGATGCAGCTGCAACAGGAGCTGGAGCTTCTCAATGCCTACCAGAGCAAGATCAAGATGCAAACAGACGCGCAACACGACAAGGAGAGGCGGGATCTGGAGCAGCGGGTGTCGCTGCGGAGGGCACTGCTGGAGCAGAAAGTAAGCAAAGTTCTGCGTTTGTCAGGAAATTAATGAAGGTGCATGTTTGTGAACACAGCAAAAATGACTTGATACTTGTTGGGTTTTAATGTTATGGTTCTGTTTTATTAACCGTATTTTTTTTCTCCCCCTCAGATTGAAGAGGAAATGCTTTCCCTCCAGAACGAGCGCTTGGAGCGAATCCGCTCGCTGCTGGAGCGCCAGGCCCGGGAGATCGAGGCCTTCGACTCGGAGTCGCTGCGGCTGGGCTTCAGCAACATGGTGCTCACCAACCTGGCCCCAGACTCCCAAGGAGGCTGGGGGGGCGGAGGCGGTGGAGGAGGCCAGGGAGGTCAGGGGGGAAGCCAGTGGCCCGGAGGCGGTGGAGGAGGCAGCCATCACAGTCACCACCAGGGGGGCTCCAGTTCGCAGCAGCCCTGGGGCCACCCCATGCTTGCAGGTGGCCCGCCGCCCTGGAGCCTCCACCATCCCGGAGGAGGGAGTCAGAGAAGTAGTCAGGGAGGCGCAGGAGGGGTGAGGAACAGCCCGCAGGCTATGAGGAGGACGTCATCGGGGGGGAGGAGTGAACAGGGCATGAGCAGGAGCGCCAGCATCACCTCTCAGATCTCCAACGGTTCCCACCTGTCATACACCTAAACACACAAGAAACAGTCACTGAAACTAAAACACACACAAACACACACACTCAAAGTGCACAGCACAGATAGGTCATATCCCACAATGCACCTCACCATGCAGACTGGTGAGACTGGCCCGTCGTTGGAAACCCATCAGAGCTGAAACCAAGCTGCAGCTTCTGAATGCCATTCCCAGCCAATCAGCTGCAGCCAATCAGCTCCGTTCAGCTCAGTCTGCGTTGCCATTCAGCCGCCATATTCACCATAGAGTTTCACCAGAGACCAGTTTGCAGCAGGTTCTGTCATTTTTAAGGGACGAGTTGCACAATAAATCTTCTCGTGCGGAAAAAGTTGCTGCTTTAACTGGAGTTACATAAATCCTTGGGAGATCCCGTCAAAACACTCAATAAGACTGAAATTATTGACGTGCTCTTAGATAAATGTTTGGAAGGCAGAAGAGTAGAGAAAATTTAAAGGAGGGAAAGAATGAAAGTCGTGTGTTTGTATCAACTGGGGAATTTCCTGTGCAGACGAGTCTCTGGAAGTTTGGATTCACTTTAAGCATTTTCAAATTTAAAGAAGTAAAAAAGCTTTGAAAGCTTTTACAGATTTTTTTTCCAATAAATCTGCAAGATAATTAAGAATTTAAGTTAATCAAAAACACGTAAGTTGAATTTGATTTAATTTACAACTTGAATTGTTAATAAATTAGATTTTTAGGGCCTTATAAAATCAATCAAAATTAATTCAAAGTTATTTCCTAAAACTTCTGTTTTTCTAAAGAAATATAGGTGGTTATAAAGAACCAGAGATTTATAGGTAAAAATAACGCGCATTAAAAAAAAAACATTTTAAATGCTTTTTTTTTGGCTACTAAGTATTTCTGAAACAATTTTTTAATCTGAATCCATGTTTTTATTGAAGTTGGTTTGGATAAGATTACATATTTTGCAGAATATGTTGAAATGTTCAGAAAACCTTTGAAATTGGAGTCTGGAAACGTTTCGGATTTAAAGTAAGAAAATTATGGCAACAGCCTGAGCGAATGCTTCGAGGTCGGAGTATTTGTAGAGACTTAAGGCCAGTTTCCAATGTCTCGTCTTTGTTGACCCTTGACCCGCTTATATGGATCTTAATCCATTTTCTATGAGAATGACATTTAAAAACTGCATTTAAAGTATTTTGCTTTTACCCAGAGCTCCTTATTTGTTTATATTCTCGTTGTATTGTGAGAAAGCAGTTGTTGTGAAACAGAGTTTTACTCATTTGAAGTTACTAATTTAAAGACTAGTTGTTGTCGTACTACAGAGACTGCAGTCATCACCTGAACTCACAGATTTCCAAAAGGTCGACAACATTTCAAAGCGGCATATTCCAGGACTTACTGAGGATGTAAGGCCTAAAAAAAATGTAAAGTTTAATGTTTTCCTTTCACACTTCCTGTTATCTGTTGAAGTTGAGTCTGGGTCAGTTTTCCCCTTCCTCAGTTGCACCAAATGTCCTAAAGGTTTGATCCCAAAGAGGTTGCAAAACTTAAAACGTTGGGTAAAAAAACAACCAAAAGGGCAAAAATACAAAATGTTGACTCTAATGAGCACAATAATTGGTCTCCGTTTTGCTTCCTCTCTGCTTTTACTTCAAAACTCCTCACTAATACCAAAAATACAACTTTTCAGTGTATTTTTGTTACAACTTCCATACCACATGGTGTTGTTGGCATGAACGTGTCGCCTTCAATGATTGGAAAAAGGTTGGATTTCTAGTGTTTGATCAGTCAAGTTTAACCCATTTATCTATGAAGCTCTAGTTATTTAAGGACTTTGTGTCAGACTGCTAACATGCTAGTTGTAGTAGTAGTTTGGGTCACAACTGTCCAAGCCAGCACTGGATTGTATTAGTTGTTAAGTGCCAGAGAGGCTCAGCCAGTTTAAGCCACACAGCCAAGTAGTAGCAGCGATGATTGGCTCAGCTCCTGGGTTTCCACCGACCTCTGCCCACCCAGTCTCGCTCTGGCGGACGCTGTAGTTAGCCCACCATCCCTCACGATGGCGTTTCAGCAGTAGGTAAACACAACTTGAATAAAAGCCGGTGATCGATCTTCACCGGTGAGCAGTAACTCCACAATGTCCTGAACGATGCAGTACGAGCCTGTCGGCCTGTTTGGGGGGGTGCAGTCACAGCGAGTCGCACTTTGGCCAAGGCCAACTCAAAATGTTACGTCTGATTTCACACAAACACACATACAGATGCATGTTCACAGAAAGTGTAAAGGTTCCAATCCTTGATGGAAAAACGGCACACATTTTTTGATAAAGGAGATGTAAATGCTGATTTGAAGTTTTAAAAAAGGCCTCAGATAAAACAAGTGACCATCTTGTCTGTCGGTTGGTGACTGCTGAATGTTTTTTGCGGATCCATGGGGGGTGGTGCTGGGATCTCCGCTGCTGTGCCCCTGCAGAGCCCCTCCCCCGGTGTGACACCCCGCTCTGTCTCACCCTCCGATCTGACCACCGATCTCCCTGCGTCCTTCCACCTTCGCCTCCTTCCCTCCCGTGTCTCTCAAGGGCCCCAAACCCGGGGGCCGCTCGCTGATCTGCAGGGAAAATTTGTCCCTCAGAGGAAGAAACGACGAACCAGGATATGTGCTGGTGTTTATATAAATCTATAAAAGAGAGAATTTTAGAAAAGATCCAAGTCTTATTGTGAAACTGCAGAAGAAATGTACAGTCAACATGTGAATATTGTACAGCTTGGAAATCTAAATGACAAATCGAAGCGAGATGAACCTGCGGTGAGGGCACAATGCTGTGGCGTTAGAGTTGCTGTAGTTTAAAAAAAAAAAGGGGGTTTGCTGAGTTTTCACCTGTCCCGTTTGCAGCAGTTAACTCTTTTTTGGCTGGGAACGAAAACACGGCTTTAGGTCAAATTGCCTTGTGGAAGCAGCAACAATTTGTTCAAAAGTGTATGAGGAGAATTTTTTGCACATAATTAAAATATTTTTCTCCTGTTGCTCGGACTGTACACTGACAGCGTTACACCAGGTTAGACTCTAAAACCATTTAAATACCATAAAACTTAATGCACTCTGCACCCTGAGGTAGTTTCCAAAGTCATGCACAAAGCTCTGAAGTCCATTTAGTTTTTGGAAACTTTAGATCATGTGGGAACCGCTGACATTACTCAGGCTTTAATCTTTGAGACTCGCATTTACACTTCCATCTAGAAATAAGCAACGAAAATTAGGCCCCCATTCTGTCAAAACGTGCTAGATTCTCAGTTTAGAAACTAAATGAGTGCTTTTCTTTATTTCTCTTCATCTCTTTTGTGTTTTGTTTTCCTTAAACTGTCTGCAGAGGGCCAAACAACCTGCAGAGGTTCAGTTGTATTTACTATAGATTTTTTTGTTGTTTTTTTGCAAGGCAGTGGGGGCAGAGTCTAGCTTTAGACGTTGGTCACTCCGAACTGGATCAGTTGCACTGATTGCACAAGTCATTGACCAGTTTTACGAGTCTACTGTGACACCCGACCTCCTCCCGAAGCGGGGGGGCAGCTGCTGTTGGCGGAGAGTCGGTGGAAGGCCGGGTCACTTCTCTGTACAGTCTGTTTATCAGTATTCCTTTTATTCTTCCTGTCATATTTGGTGAATCTTGCCGTTTTATTCTCCCTTGTCCACAGATCTGTATTAAACTGTATCAAAGTGTATAGTTTGTGCAAAAAAAAATTACAAATAAAAAAAGCTGAATGTTGCATAGCAGAAGAGAATAGATATTCATTCAGATGAAAAATAAGTGATTTAAAATGTATAAAAGTAATTCAGATGCAAAGTTTAGGGGATAAATGTAATATTTTGTTTGTAATTACTATTTTTTGTTGGAAGAGGGCTACTGGATAAAGAATCATCTGTAATAAAGTAATTTTAATATTTATCTGTTGCATAGTGTTTATGTTGTCATCGTTTTACAAAAACGTCAGTTTAAATGTCAGAATTTGTAAATTATGATTTGCTTATATTTTATTCACTATAGATTTTAATATATTGGCATTAATGCTGAATTCACAGCAAAAACAAAATCTTCCCATGTGTTTATACTCTAGTTATAGTGCAGATATGTTAGTTTTGTCTTATTTGTACTAAAGTACAAGTATCTTTTCTGAAGGTAGAAAAGTTTGAGTCAATTAATCCTTAATATTGATGAAAAAGAAGTATTTCCCTTAAAGTATTTCATGTGTAGTAAGACGTTATCTGCTTTCAGTTACTTTTAAGCTGATTTTGTTTTATTTAAACTTTTGCAGTGAAGCCATATTGTGATAGTTTGTCTTTCAGAAACTCTGGCAGACTAAATCCTGCAGGCATCACCACCGTGAAATTTCTTAGTAGGAAGCGTTGAGACGCCGTCCTGAAACAAAAACATTGAAAGAAAGCTCCAGACCTGAGAAGCACCACTGAGCAGAACTCAACAAATATGACCCTAGACTGACCTTTTTAGATAAGAATTTATTTTTCTAGTTTTGAAAACCTAACGTATAAAATATCTGAAAATGTCTTATCGAGTGTAAGACCTCTTCCAGGTGAAGGGTTCTCCATGCACGTCGTCCACACCGCTCTGCCCTGCTGGCTGGGGTCTTGATCTCTTCATCATGGCGCCTCTCCTCCGACGAGGCATCGCTGCAGAGTTCATCTTGCTCTTCTGTCCTTTGACGCTGTTTACTTCCTGTTGGCCTCTGCTGCTTTTCCAGTCCTTTTCTGCCTCTTTCAGGAAGTCAGACGCCACTCTTAGGAACTCCAGCACTGCGATATGACTCCACATACCTTCATCCTCATCTTCACTTCTTGTCCTCCCTTCATCTGCCTGCCTGTCGGCGTCCAGGGCGAACCCGCAATGCCCTCCTCTGTCAGTAAGAACCAGCAGGAAGTAAGGGTTGCTCTGGAAAAGAGAAACAGGGAGCGTGGAGGCTGGAGGGAGGAGAGGATCATCAGAGCTGCAGATGCAGAGCACTGGGACCGCCACCTCATCTGCATCTCTCAGAGGTTCATTCCTCCCCCAGTAGCTCTCCCAGTCCGCTGCTGGGTAAGCTCTTTCACCCAGTGCCCAGGCCGCTGCTGATGTTGGGCCCCTGAGGGAGGGAGATGCAGGGTTTCTCTCTGTGGATGGAGAAGCTTTCTCAGTGGGAGAGCAGAAAAGAGCTTCTTCAAAATCTCTGAGGCTGGAGGATCTGAGGGCACGATCCACATCCAGGATTCCTCGGAGAGAACTGACATATCTATTGAGAGCATGGAAGAAAAGCAAAGATTTTAGCAAATATAGCAAAACTAAAATCTGGAGTTTGTGGAGAGTTGGGTGACATTTTGGAAAAAAAATTGTTTGAGTATTTTGCTATGCTGAGGTTTCTACTGTTACTAAGTAATTTTATTGCTACTTCAGTCACACTTCTGGATATTGTTGTAAGTTCACTGAAGAACAATTTTGTTTCAACCAAAAACAGGCTCACGCCTGCAGGTTTTTTTAAGTTTTATATTTTTATATGGAAAGGAACTGATTTGTAACAAGGCTCCTTTTGCCTGATTTTGCTGCAAATTATTTTAATTTAGATTTTTTAAATACAATTTTAAAGATTTAAACATTAAATGACTAATGTTTTGATCAGTTACTCAGTACTTGACTAGACTTTTTACCAAATACCTGTTTACTCTTAATTAAGTTCAATCTTTGGTTGCTCTACCTGCCTCTGGATTTGTGCAAAGTATAAAATTCTCACCTGCTCAGCTGCATTTTTCTGTGAAATAGCACCCCCCAGCGGTAAATAGGCGGCATGACGCTTTCAAACCACAGTTGCCCCAGCAACACAGGTGAGATGGCTGCAGCTGCTGTTAGGCAGGTGCTTGAGCCTCGCTCGCCCAAATAGGACAGCAGGACGGCGGAGCCCGATCCTTCACTCACCGCCACCAACACGGAGGACGGGTGCCGACTGCGGACATACAGAACCGCCTGAAAACACACGCATCGCTACCGTAAGCTGTAAAAATGTGTCTGAACTCATGACAGAATATATGAAAGAGGACTACAATCCAATTTTTTAATAAAAAATTGTTAAACCTCAACAAGCACCCAGAAAAAAAGTTTTACAAAAGCTTTTGACTCCATAATAAAAGAGCTCTTTCAACTATTTAAGGCAGCTTAACCTCTAATTTACTCGTAATTACACCACACTGACATTGATTCATTGGAATGCAGATACTAATTTTTCCTCTTGGCTGCAGAGAAACAGTTTATTTTTCATCGTCAGCATCATTGTCTCCAACATACCTGATTCAGATAAGTGACTCATTATCATGCCTCTGCAGAACCTGTTGGCATGTAGAGGAGGTATTTCATTGTGTTGGAACAAGTTGTTTTCATCTAAATGTTTCCAAAGACTGCAATAAACTGGATGTTGACTTAGTAACAGAGAAGATAGGAGTGTGTCTAATAATGTAGCAGATGAAGAAGCAGATTTCTCAAACAATTTCCCTCCTCTTGCATTATAAAAAAAATATAAAATTAAGAGTGAAATACAATTCAGATATAAGCCAAAACTGCAAATAGACTGAATTGATGTGGGTTGAATCAGCTGATCCTCTTTTAAAGCAGTTTCCCACACTTTTCCATGCCAAGGATTGACCTCTGACCCCTTTTTAAACCCACAAATACAAAATATGTAAGAAACTTGCATAATGTTTTTATTCACTATTTCATAATTATTACATTCAATTAGCACAAATGCTGCCTTATATCTTCTGATTTTTGTTCTCCTTCTGATCTGTGGTGAAATATTTTATTATCAGATAATACAATTTTTCATTACAATTCCCTCATTCGATTATAAATTATGTTATATTTTATATTAATCACATCAAATGTTATTTTATTACCACAGTTCTTATGTTGTTGTTGGGGTTTTTTGTATTTTTTGCAGATGTGTCCTCCATAGCTGGGCTGCTTTGGTCTTGTCAGAAACTTTTCCACTTCCTGTTTGTGATGCTAGTTTTGAGGAGCAAAGCAGCTTCATGAATTTAACAGGCAGCCAATAAGAAAATAAATTAATTTGACTCATATTCTATTTTTAAAATGATTGAAAAACAAACAAAATTCTAATGAAAAATTTAAGATTAAAATATTTAATCTTAAATTAGTTTTTAGTTCTGCGTTTTTTTTCTCTGATCTTCCCTTTAACTTGCTGAAGCCCCCAGTACAGCGCCCCCTGGCTGCTCACTTTAAAAAAACCCAGCGTTGTAAAGCGTACCTGCTCCAGATCCGCCGGGTCTCCAAACTCACAGATTCTTGGTGTGGTGAGGGGCGACCCGGCTGTGCCCCGATGGTGAAACACGACCACTGAGAAGCCCTGCAGCGCGGCCTGCTGGCAGAGCCGCCGCAGGTGGGGGGTCGTCCCGCCCCAGGACTGAGGGATGAGGAGGAGAACGGGGGGTGTCGAGGTGAAACACCCGATGGCCTTCCTCCCTGACTGCTGCTCCTTCATCCTCTTCGCCGTCGCCCAGTCCAGAGCCACGACCCCCCCGTCCTTCAGCAGGAGGAGCTCTCTGGTGAACTGGATGCTGTCTGCATGTTCTCCACACATTTGGCTGGAGACCGTCTGCAGGTGGGGGTCTCCCCAGGGCCAGTCGGCCAGTTTTGCCTTTGTGAGCGAGCCGCAGTGCTGCAGCAGATACCTGGCCAGTGCAGAGGGTTTACAGATGATCCTGGGTCCATCTGAGGTCCAGCAGCGGCAGCTCCAGGATCAGACAGACTGTGACCCACAGCTTCCAGCCTGCAGCCCTGACAGCCACATTTACCCAACTGCATAACGCCGGCCAGCGGAGACCCAAACACAGCAGGAAAAACAAGGAGCAAGGGAGCAAACATAACAAACAATCCAACACGTATGACTCCATAGCTGAATCAAAACCTAGAGTTGTCACTGGGATATTTTCCTCATCATCTGTGACTGACGCTCTGCTGTCTGTCTTTCTTCAGCTTTGGAAAAGGAAACTAAAAAGAAGTAAAGCAATGAAAAATTTTCCCAATGACTGAAAAATAGAGAACTAGAGAAAATGCTCCTCCTCTGCTCCCTTTCACCTCTCTTCATAAATCATTTACTACACGGTCCGTCAGAAAAGGCAAATAGACAACATCAACTGGTCTCCTTAATGTCATGGAATTATATTTATTTGGATTCTTCTCCCAGTCAGTTATTTGGTCTTATACAGCCATTTTTAAAAGGTTATGTTTAAAATAATTTTATAATTTTCCATCAGACAGTGTGAAAAAAAGGCATATCTTTTTTACATAAAACATGAAAACTTCTAGTTTCAACTGTATCTAGAAACTGTTTGTTCATGGCTCCCTCCAGTTCTAAGACTATTGATTCACCAAGCAAAGTCAAATGGGTCTGGAAGTTTTCATAGGCCTTTACATAACCCTGAATTCAACCCAACATCAGTGTCCGACCTCAAATGTTTAAGTAAGTCAAGTCAAATAGTTTGTCACTTGTTTATCTTTTTGTTAATAGTTTGTAGAGAAGTTGTTTCTATTTATTTTGTATGTATGTGCAGAACGAGATGCCTGAAACTGTCAGTGCATGAGGGAACACCTTCTTGTATTGTTCAAAAATAGCACACCTCACTCTGTAGGTATTCACAAAACAATACTTTAATAGCATTGTTTTGCCAGTTCTTGATTTGCAGAAAATGTCTGAATGACATTTCTTGATAATCCAAGATTTAACAGAAGAATGATTTTAAACACCTGTTCCTTCATAAGCAACCACCTTGCTGTCTTTATTGAAATTATGTTAGCAGGTCATACAGTAGCTCACTGATGGAAGGTTTTTGTGATTAACTTTAATTAACTTTATCATTAAATCCATTTGATATTGTGAAATTGATGACAGGATCTATATCAATGTAAATTTTGACTATAAAAACTGAAGCCATTTGTTAATTAATTTCAGATTAAATGATAAAAAGAAGACCCCCTGTCTCGTATCATGTTTTATTATTTGATAAATAAAACATAATTTGAGAAATAGTTTCAGTTCTTTTGTTTGAAATGATCAAGTGGTTTGAACAAGATTCCTTGATGATTGACTCAGAGTTTGACTGGAAGGCTCCACTTTCCTCAGAAGATCAGGTGGAGCCGCTGCTAAGTAAAAACAAAAGGATTCAGCACCAAACAAACAGCTCTGGAAATCAGGTACAGAAAATATTTGCATGTAATTTTTAATCAATTGTGAATAGTTTTTCAATCACATTTATAATATTCGAAAAAATTTCTAAATATGAATCATGAAGACAGTTATTAACATAATACATATGTTTTGAATTTAATTAAAAATATATGAGTAGAATAGTTGTTTAAAAATCTTTGCAGTTTTTTGTTTTGTCATTATCAGTTTTGGTGGGGATGTTGTTGGGAAAAGTATAATCATTGATAATAAAAACCAATTTCTGTGTTCAAAAGATGCTCATAATTAATTAGGATAAGTACTTTTAATATTGCTTTGGTGTTTAATTTTACTTTAAAAAAATTATTCACCTGAAGCATAATTTTACAATGGGGTTACATTTTATAACTGTGTCTGATCCAGCAAAGTTTGATAAATGCTGTTATATTTTTGGTTTGTATTCCTGAAACTATTGCTTCTAAAATTTGTTAATAAATTTTTTAAAACTCATTTTATGTCTCACAGGTTTTGAAGAATTTTAAAAATTCTGCATAAGCTTTGGAAGAGCTTTTGTCTGTGAGATCAGGGATGACCAAGCTGGCTGTGTTGTGTTTCCTGCTTCTGCAGACCGGAGTTGAAGGATTTAAAATATCAAATATTATTTTAAATTATTTTAACGGAGGCTCATTAACTCATGAAGTGATCACAGAGAGAGCAATCCTCAATGTCACTCTGCAGGTGTGTCGTGCACTGGCTTTGTCTGAGGGAAAGACCTTCACTTTTCCTGTAAGTATTTAAATTAAACCATTAAGTTTTTGTCAATTAAAATTACTTTGTTGAAGCAAAATAAACACCTGCATTTGTTTGCAGCCACAACCTTTCTCTGCTGGGGCTGTAGCAGCTGCATGCGACGCATCAAAATCAACCAAAAGTTTCATCGACACCATTCAGAGGATCCAGAAAAGTAACCATGAAATAGACAAGGATTATGTGCTGAGTGCAATTCATCACTGCGATGATGAAAGCATAGCAGGAGGACAGTTTCTCATTACACTTGGTTTAACAGCTGTGAAGGCTTCCAATAAGAAACAAAACTTTGTTTTAGCCACATCAATTCTGGGAGAGATACTCCATACCTTACAGGTATATCTGCTGCAGCTTTGAGATTGCACTTCATTTTCTTGCTGCCTAAAACTGCCACGGATGAGAAATTATTACTTTTATTATTAGCTTCATTAAATCTGCAAAGGGTTACCAAAGGTCAACGCTGATATATTTACTCTGCTGCCCACTTGTGGCAGAAAAACTCACAAAAAGCTTGATACTTCCTTTGAGTGAATTAAGCAGTAGTTTTGTTTTGAAGGATTTCTACAGTCACACTAACTGGGTGGAAATAGGATACAAATTCCCAAACTCCAATCTGATCAAAGGAAATGCCGATGTTGGAAAAATAGCAGGTAAAAAAGGTGTTGTTTTGATTTGTGTGGATTTATGTGCTTATTTTCAAATATACCAAATCTAATGTGAATCTGCAGCCAAAACGAGAGCAACTTGCCGCAACTGTGATGGAGAGGACTGCAGCAACAACATTTTGGAGGACATCTTAAAGGAACAAATCCTTACTTCGGGATATTTTTCACCTAAAGTATTCTCTACAAAACCAGAAGGTAAAGATCTTTATTTTGTTGTCAAATAGTAAATCAATGTAGTTATACATTACTCTGCTGCCCAGTTATGGCAAGAAAGGCCACAAAAAACTTGCATATATATGAAATAAGTGTGTCAACAACAAAATATTATTTGTGATTTGTGTGATGATGAGCAGGAAAATGCAGCCATGGAGGGTTTTTTGATCGAACAAAAGGAATTGGGCCCAAAGGTGGGATCAACAAAGATTCATTTGACTCTGAACATGGATATCTTCACAACCAAGCAGCTAACTTGGCGATAGCAGCAACCAGTGAGCTGCTGGAGGACGTTCGCAGTGCTGCTGGAGACAGAGGATTCCTTCAGTAGGAGGCTGCTTATTTTCTCTGTATTTGAATTTCTTTATAGAATAATAGAAAACAATGAACAGCTTTGCCTCTGTGTTTCGCTTGTTGCACCTCAGGATGATGGGACTGTTGAAAGGGAGAGCCCTTTGTTTTTGCGTGGACACGACAGGAAGCATGGGGGATGACATTGAAGCAGTGAGGATCGTAACATCATCGATTATTGACAGTAAAGTGGGAACAGAAGACGAACCCTCAATTTACATTCTCGTTCCCTTCAATGATCCAGGTAGAATCCCAATGATCAGGGCTGAAGTGTATTGTCTCCCTGATAGTTTCACCTTCAGTGTTATGAATTTAATCTATGAGGAAACAATTATGACAGAAATTATTCCTATTGTTTTCACATGTTTTATAGTCACTGTATTGCCAAATGAATAAAGAAAAAAAGGGAAAAACAACATAAATCCAACTGACTGGACTAAAATGTTGTAGAATATACAAATCACTGACTTCTGTTTGGATCACAGAATTTGGGCCTCTGCTTCAGACAACAGACCCAGAGGTTTTCAAGAGTTACATCAACTCACTAACACCACATGCAGGTGGAGATTTTCCAGAAATGAGTCTTTCTGGACTTCAGGTGATCTGATTTATACCACAGAGCTGATTATGTATGAGAAGCAAAATAAATAAATAAATAAAACTTTTTCTGTAATTTCTTCATGCAGCTGGCTTTAACTGGTGCGCCTCCCAATTCGGAGATCTTCGTTTTCACGGATGCAACAGCTAAAGATGACTACCTGAAAAACACGGTGCTCGCACTCATAGAGCAGACCAAGTCTGTGGTGAGTGCGTCTCTGGTGATGCACTGAATTCCTTGTTTTCAGTAATTAATGGAGCGTTCCGTCAAATAAACGGTTGTTCACATGACCACTAGGGGGTGCTCGCGGACCACCGGTGTTTCCATGACCACAGTTTTGAGAAGAGCTTTCTAAATGTATTATGTTTTTTTTTTGTTTGTTTGTTTTTAAAACATTTACCTGCATGATTTATAATGTACCAATTCATTTATTTGTGGGGATATTGCATATTAGTGGATATTTGTGTTTGATAGTTTCTCAAGCTAAGCATGTGACGTCACTACATTCTAAACCCCGCCCACTCCGCCGTCATAACAACCAATGCGCTCCTGTTAACCTTGTCAACACAACAAGCACATCTGGTAGCCTAATATCGCTTTTATTTAGTTGATTTCGCAGTTAAACAAATGTCTACAGGGTGCTGCGCTGTCGACTGAAAACCAAACTTGTAATTTTATTGTATAACTTAGCGAGGAAAGATGGCGATGGCGAGCAGCCGTTAATCATAATGACTGTCAGGCTTCGGTGTAACCGCGGATTTGCAGTGAACACTTTTTTACAAGCTAATAATTTTAACGCCTATAAGGTCTATAAGTAAGTTTGATTAAAAAGATATCAAATATCGCATTGTCGTGAAGGTACACGTTAGTCTTTGGTAACCATGGAAACAGTGCACCGCCATCATGTAGCCTAGCATGTATGGAAAAACTTATTAGCGTCTGGCTAGCCAGTTCTGTACGCCTTCTGTACGTTTTAAGGCTGCTCAGGTTTAAGGGGGGACACTGCTTATGACATAGTGACATAAAACATGTGGCGTGAATTCAGGAAAAGTCGGTAATTTGATCAGGAGGGAACAAGTACGGCTCGGTTTTTAAGCTAGCTATTTCAAGCTTCTGTAAATAACGCCGTCCGTGAGCCCTAACCCAGGTGTGTTACGTTCAAAGACAAATTAGCTTGACTCGAACAAGAAGCAGCCACAAATAAACTGACAAAAACAAC